TGTATTTCTCTCTCTCTCTCTCTCTCTCTCTCTCTCTCTCTCTCTCTCTCTCTCTCTCTCTCTCTCTCTCTCTCTCTCTCTCGATTTTAATTTATTTTAAATGATATGTTGACCCTGGCTCAATGTTTTTTGTTTTTTGTCTGTTTATTTTCTCACTGGCTTTTTGTCTAGCTACTATTTATAATTATATTATTGTTTTATATATTATTGTATTATTGTAACTATGTATTTGCTTTTATATATGTTCAATGAACTTAATTAATAATAATAAAATAAAAAATAAAAATAAGCACACCTATTGAGCTGCTGACATACAGTATTTTTTACTGTACATGCTCAGAAATGCTACACACACTATGGCACAATATAAAGCACCAAATGCATTTCTGATGCTCCAATTATATGATGCCCTCTAAAGTACTGCATTATGCACAAAAATAATGCACACAAAAACAACGTTGCACATGACATATTCAGGAGAGATGACTTCACTCTGTGTATAATGTCTTGCCATTTCAACTAATATAGCCTATAAAATAAATGCATTAACCAAATGCCTGGTTTGGAGTCATTTATGCATAACTCTCCTGATTTATATTACCTTTTAGCATCATAGACATATTATGACCTGTTTGGCATATTTCTTTTCAATAGATGTAGGAAGTAAAGTCATTTCTACAACCCGTTTATTAGCTCGATAAATGGAAGACAGACTTTAGATTTGAACATGCTGTTATTTTGTACATTTGGTCAATGTTTTTATTAATCTCCAAACACAAGCTGAGGCCCCTAAGGATTCCTGCTATTAAAACATGCCGTGGAAGTATTTAGGGGGACCAGGGGTACAAGCCGTGCTTGAACAGAGACAGTGTTTGTGCGCACAAGAGCTCTTTTATTGGGACGTTGAGCGTTGTTATTATATATGAGCTGGAGCTCACTGGAGTCACTGTGTGGATCACCTGAAGCCACACACACACTCAGCTGATGATAAGATCTTAAAGACAAACTGAAGTTCGCTTAGAATAAGACCTGCTCACATCTGCCAACACATTGTGCAATGAAGTCAACATTTCATTTTAAAATAAATGCTAAAAAGATGTTCATGACAACTCTCTAAATATTTCGCATATAATGGATATGACAATGTTGAAATGTCTTGGCGGATCAGATCTGCTACTCTGCTGCTGATATTATTGCTGCTGATATTATTGCTGCTGTTATTATTGCTGCTGGTTATTATTGCTTCCGATATTATTGCTGCTGATAGTATTGCTGCTGATATTATTGCTGCTGGTTATTATTGCTGCTGATATTATTGCTGCTGGTTATTATTGCTGCTGATATTATTGCTGCTGGTTATTATTGCTGCTGATATTATTGCTGCTGGTTATTATTGCTGCTGATATTATTGCTGCTGGTTATTATTGCGGCTGATATTATTGCTGCTGGTTATTATTGCTGCTGATATTATTGCTGCTGATATTATTGCTGCTGGTTATTATTGCTTCCGATATTATTGCTGCTGATATTATTGCTGCTGATAGTATTGCTGCTGATATTATTGCTGCTGGTTATTATTGCTGCTGATATTATTGCTGCTGGTTATTATTGCTGCTGATAGTATTGCTGCTGGTTATTATTGCTGCTGATATTATTGCTGCTGATATTATTGCTGCTGGTTATTATTGCTTCCGATATTATTGCTGCTGATATTATTGCTGCTGATAGTATTGCTGCTGATATTATTGCTGCTGGTTATTATTGCTGCTGATATTATTGCTGCTGGTTATTATTGCTGCTGATATTATTGCTGCTGGTTATTATTGCTTCCGATATTATTGCTGCTGATATTATTGGTGCTGGTTATTATTGCTTCTGGTTATTATTGCTGCTGGTTATTATTTCTGCTGATAATATTGCTGCTGGTTATTATTGCTTCCGATATTATTGCTGCCGATAGTATTGCTGCTGTTATTATTGCTGCTGATATTATTGCTGCTGGTTATTATTGCTGCTGATATTATTGCTGCTGATATTATTGCTGCTGGTTATTATTGCTGCTGATATTATTGCTGCTGATATTATTGCTGCTGATATTATTGCTGCTGGTTATTATTGCTGCTGATAGTATTGCTGCTGATATTATTGCTGCTGATAGTATTGCTGCTGATATTAATGCTGCTGATAGTATTGCTGCTGATATTATTGCTGCTGGTTATTATTGCTGCTGATATTATTGCTGCTGGTTATTATTGCTGCTGATATTATTGCTGCTGATGTTATTGCTGCTGTTATTATTGCTGCTGAAATTATTGCTGCTGGTTATTATTGCTGCTGATATTATTGCTGCTGATATTATTGGTGCTGGTTATTATTGCTGCTGATATTATTGCTGCTGATATTATTGGTGCTGGTTATTATTGCTTCTGGTTATTATTGCTGCTGGTTATTATTGCTGCTGATATTATTGCTGCTGTTATTATTGCTGCTGATATTATTGCTGCTGATATTATTGCTGCTTGTTATTATTGCTGCTGATATTATTGCTGCTGATATTATTGCTGCTGTTATTATTGCTGCTGGTTATTATTGCTGCTGATATTATTGCTGCTGATATTATTGCTGCTGGTTATTATTGCTGCTGATATTATTGCTGCTGATATTATTGCTGCTGATATTATTGCTGCTGATATTATTGCTGCTGTTATTATTGCTGCTGATATTATTGCTGCTGTTATTATTGCTGATGATATTATTGCTGCTGATATTATTGCTGCTGATTTTATTGCTGCTGTTATTATTGCTGCTGTTATTATTGCTGATGATATTATTGCTGCTGATATTATTGCTGATGATATTATTGCTGCTGCTGTTGTTGTTGTTGGTTATTTCTGCTGCTGTTAGTTATTGCTGCTGATATTATTGCTGCTGGTTATTATTGCTGCTGATATTATTTCTGCTGATATTATTGCTGCTGTTATTATTGCTGCTGGTTATTATTGCTGCTGATATTATTGCTGCTGATATTATTGCTGCTGGTTATTATTGCTGCTGATATTATTGCTGCTGATATAATTGCTGCTGATATTATTGCTGCTGATATTATTGCTGCTGTTATTATTGCTGCTGATATTATTGCTGCTGTTATTATTGCTGATGATATTATTGCTGCTGATATTATTGCTGCTGATTTTATTGCTGCTGTTATTATTGCTGCTGTTATTATTGCTGATGATATTATTGCTGCTGATATTATTGCTGATGATATTATTGCTGCTGTTATTATTGCTGATGATATTATTGCTGCTGCTGTTGTTGTTGTTGGTTATTTCTGCTGCTGTTAGTTATTACTGCTGATATTATTGCTGCTGGTTATTATTGCTGCTGATATTATTTCTGCTGATATTATTGCTGCTGTTATTATTGCTGCTGGTTATTATTGCTGCTGATATTATTGCTGCTGATATTATTGCTGCTGTTTATTATTGCTGCTGATATTATTGCTGCTGATATTATTGCTGCTGATATTATTGCTGCTGATATTATTGCTGCTGTTATTATTGCTGCTGATATTATTGCTGCTGTTATTATTGCTGATGATATTATTGCTGCTGATATTATTGCTGCTGATTTTATTGCTGCTGTTATTATTGCTGCTGTTATTATTGCTGATGATATTATTGCTGCTGATATTATTGCTGATGATATTATTGCTGCTGTTATTATTGCTGATGATATTATTGCTGCTGCTGTTGTTGTTGTTGGTTATTTCTGCTGCTGTTAGTTATTGCTGCTGCTGCGGAGCAATAAGTTATTTTGATTCAACATTATGAGGAACATGAATTAAAAAAGCACAAATAAATAATTCATAATAAATACTACAATATTCCAATAAAAACAAGAACAGTCAATTTTGATATATGGTAACTTTAATAAGAACTTGCACTTGAGCATAATTAAGTGGAATAAAGAATACACTTCAAAAAAAGAATCCTTAGAAACTGGGATTAAACAAGACAGGAATGTAACAAGTATTAGATATTATTTCATCTAAAGCCATTTTGTCTGTGTAGCGCATTATAAAAGGGGTCAATGGCATTTATGACTAAGATATTTGGCTTTAAAAAAAACTATTAGTAAAAAAAACACAAATCTGTATCGGGAACTGAGCACAACAAGCAGACAATTTATTCAAATTCATAAGAATAAAATGAATTGAACTGATTAAAAACAAAACTCCAGCGCTGTGCCAAGTGGGACAGAGGCATCATATCTAAGTTTTCTCCCTTACCTGAAATATGTGTCCATGAAACACAAGTGTGTACACATTACTTTCCCCAGAAAACAACAACAGCAAAGCCACCATAATCTCTGATGTCAGTTTTAGCGCAAACCTCGACATTCCTGCAGCCAAGCTGTTTCTATCTTTAATGTTGACTTTACAGAATAAATGCAAGCGCTTTTAAATCCGTCTATTAATAGAACAACTGCGCATAAATCTACTAAATATGATGTCTAATATTTAAAAAAGAGAGAGATTATAAATAAATGGCACCTCTTCCAAATTTCTTTGGTCACAGAATTAATATCTACTGTTCCCTCAGCATGTTTGAATATGAGGTTTGATGTGCTATTTCAATGCATACGACCACCTGATGTCTATCAAGACTTTAAATCTTTCACAACTTTTTTATAATAAGTTTTTTTATTTGAGACTAATTTACTGTTAAATTACACTGTTACTGGCAGCACAGATCCTTGAGGTTTAGCGTGTTTAGTTTTTCAGGGCCCTGCTGTTTTCCTAAAGATTTCTATAAAACAGTGACTTTTATAAACCTCCTTGTGTTATGCAGATTAATAGTCACTCCTACATTACAGCAATGATGTTCACTGTCTGTAAGAGTACAATTCTTCGTGTGTGTGTGTGTGTGTGTAAACGTTTGCTCAGGTTACATCCAAAAACAAGATTGAGTTTCCCCAGGATATAAAACGAACACACATTCCCCGAATGAACAGTTCAGGGTCTGACCAGCTCTGACAAGCAAACTCCCCTGAAAACAGCCCCACTTTTCTCTACCTCTCCATCTATACGCACTTCCACACACTCCGTGTTTACCTTCTATATGAAAACAGACATCGGTCATTTATGCACAAAAAAACACTTTCAGGACTGGATGACATTACAGTAGATCCACACACACTCTCTAGAAATGCTGTAATACCCCAGACAAGAATATGGATTATAAAAGCAGAACCAAAAGATTCAGAAACTGTTCATAGAAGGAAATAAAAATCATTTACAAATTGTAGAATTAAAAAAGCCCTCACTGAACAATACCGGAGATCCTTTGAAAGCTTGGAAGCGTGCCGGTTTACTGGAAGTGGTGGAGATGATTAAATAGAGTTAGTGTTAGTATGAGGGGAAGGGTTTTTAATAACTCTCTCTCTCTCACACACACACACAATGGCAAATTCAACATGTGCTCAGACTCAGCTGCCTTCTCTTTTAATTATTACTCCCTGTCATCTTTCTCTCAGACCATTAAAGAAATAATACATGTTAGATTTGGGATACAAAAGAATATGTGTTACACAGTCACACACACACACACACACACACATTATTTTTCATGTTTTTGAAAAGAAGTCTCTTCTGCTCACCAAGGCTGCATTTATTTGATCCGAAATGCAGTAAAAACTTTCATATTGTGAAATATTATTACAATTTGAAATAACTGATTTCTATTTAAATACATTTATGTAATGTAATAAATTATGTAAAATGTCATTTATTCCTGTGATGAAAAGCTGAATTTTCAGCATCATTACTCCGGGAAAATGCATTTGGACTCAAAAAGCTTGTTTCTTCATTAAAATTACATTGTTCAAAACGCAACACATTTTGCTAGTATTTACTTTTGGAGGGGTCTTAAAATCATGAAATTGACTTTATTGATATTTATATCACCAGGGGATCAAAATTGACAATTACAATTTTTTTTTTATGCAGTATTGCAGTACTTTTTTATAAATGATTAATCCGTGCACATTATTATTGTTTTAAATTCATGTTCCGGGTAATCTTGAATCAGAATAACTTCCCTCTTCTCTGATGATGTGGGCGGGGCTTTAACCTGTCATTCACATGAGATCAGCCAATAGCAAACCATCCAATTGCAGCTTCTGTTTCATGCTGACTTTATGACTTTTTAGGCATGAGTCTCATGACATTCACGGCTCAGGTGATTGGCCTCTCTCCGGTCCTATATAGTCGTCCACCTTGGTCAGAATATAGGCCTATGACTGATGAATTGCCATCAATAGAGAAACTTTTGCCCACATAAATGGTGTAGTTAGCATGTAATGTAACGCAGACGCTAACCAGCCAAACCCTGAACCCCTGGCTTACAAAATCTCCTGTTTCTCCCTCAGATCCTCATGAATGGAGCTCTGTGAACACTATTACCCGATACACCCCGTCAGCTTCACCATCATCATCACCCCGAAGAGCCAGTGAAGACTTTCTCCTTCATTACTCGTGCAAACCGAGCCAAACGTTACTGTCAGTTTCATCATAGTCATGAAACTTTAAAACTGCTGCTGTTTTTTGGGTTTATCACAGGTTGTTCTGAATCCCTTTTAGTGAAACACGTAAACACGAGTGGGCTGCATCGCCCTAAAATAAACATATTGACACACACACACACACACACACACCACAGCTCAAACACCAATCCAAACACACCTGCTCACATTCATTTTTGGATGTCTGGATCTGATTGGTCTTGATTGTGTTTGTGGTTTTACACTTTCTCAGAGCTGTTTTTCCCTCATGCTGACGCTGCTGGGTTTGGGATCAGACAAGGAGCACGGCCTCACTGAAATGCTCAGGTAACATTCATCAAACCAGAACACACAAAACCAGTCATGCTTTGCTTAATGTCTCTCAGATCAGAACATGTGCTATAGTAGCCTACATCTTCATCACTCATAGATTACGTAATATAAAGTGAAATTCACTGTTGTCAGTGACGGTTCTACATTGAATTATTGAATTACACCCTGGCCGAGAGCTACTCATGTACAATACTTAAATCTCGTCTCATAACTCTCATATTAACAACTATCCAAACTGTTTTAGACCTAAAATAGCTTGTGTAGGCCTATATTATGTCACCCTTAAATGTCAGAGAAAAGAACAGAGATTATTTTTTTATAGAAAATTATACTTTGCATATTATACTGTAAAAACACATAATCATAGTTGATTTTAGTTGATCATAACTATGAAATGGCATGAAAATTTCATTTCTTGATTACAGTGACCAAAATGATCACGTTATCACAGAATCCTGTTTAAAAAGTACTACAGAATGAAATCAATTCACCAAGTTTTATGTCGAAAACCAGCAAATAACAAATACAATTTGCATAAATTTGCATTTTTTGTTTACATAAACATTAAAATACTAACATAAAAAAATCATGGCCAGATTTTAAAGGAGTATCTTGCAACATGTATGCTAATCTATTGTGGCGTTATGTACGTTCAACTCGTAATATACGATCTTTCCGACGCATTAAAAAACTACATTTCCCATGATGCAGTGCGCGCATTGCGAGAGTTCAGGGGTCAGAGTGAAGGAATGCGCGGGGAGCTACTGCGCTAGCGTAGCGGAAACAGAAACATGCAGCAAAGTTTTTCATAAGTATCACGAGCATCCGTTTTTTATTTATTTACCACCATCACAAACATGACCTCAAATATTACAGACGCAACGCAAGACGAGCTGATCAATTTAATATATCACCATTTAAAGGACAACGGCTACCAGAAAGCAGCACACGTGTTGAAAAAGCACGCGCCCAAGGTGCGGAAATGTTTATGCATGTGTGTGTGTGTGTGTGTGTGTGTGAGAGAGAGAGAGTGCATGTTCGTAAATCAAGAGACTGTGTTTTTTTTTGCATGCATTTTCAACAGAGGTCAAATAAAGCTGGTGCATTTCATAAGTCGAACCAAATCTGATGCATTCACCAACACCACTGTATTTAGTGCTTATCAGTTCACAGTCACTCTGAAATCACTGCCTATCAACATACACCGTAATGCAATTGAATGGTCAAAGCTTTATTTCTATAACATAGACGTGGCTTTATGCATGTGTGCATTACATATGACCTGAGTTGTAGAAAAATAAGCATGTTAAGCTTGTGCATGTAGTGCAAGTGCACTTTGTCCTGTGTTATACTGATAGTTAATGGTGATAGTTAATGGTAAATAAGATTTATATTCATGCATCAGTTCACAATGATCCTGTAGAGCTCAGAACTGTGATATGCACAGATACTGAATGCATGTGTTGAATATGTCTGTCAGTTGCAGGTTGAAGCTGAAGAAGTGAAAGTGTCATTGAGTGAGATCTTTCAGAAGTGGGCAAGGTAACAGTGCATGCGCGTCTCATATTATGGGCTCGATTGAAAAGCACTTCAACTAATTTATCATTTTTCCCCAACATGATGTATTCAGCTCAGATGATGGAGATACTCCACCCGTGCCTTCTGGTATGTACATCAGCTTCACTATCTAGTGTGTGTTTGTCAGAAGGTTCATAGGGAACAATTGTGTATTGTGCATCAGGGGTGTTCAACATCAGGGAGTGCTGGGGAGAAAAGCAAGTGTAAAAAATGTATGAATTAATCAATAAAAACGGATTAAACTACCGTACAAAATACATTTGATAAAAAAAAAATATTTAAGAAATAATAAATCAACACATTATATTAAAATAACTTACTAATAAATAAAAATGTATTCAATTAAATTAATACATTTGATTAAATTAACACTTAAATAAAACTTTATTTCAATAAAAAAAAGTAGTGTGAAAATGTAAAAAAAAAATTAAAAACATAAGGTAACTAAACTTAAATAAATAATAAATTAATACAGTTGATTAAAATAATTTGTTAAAAAAAAAAATATCATATATATATATATGCTCTTTGATTTTATAATCAGTGTTATATAAGATGATATATACAGATGATGGTCGTATATAATCATAATCATAATGCTTTGAAAAATTGATATTTGAGAACAAGACTTGTTGTTGCTGTTGTGTATGTTGTTTGTTGTTGTATTTTTGTGCTGCTGTGACATAAATTTCCCCCTGGGGGATTAATAAAGTAAATCAAATCAAATCAAAATACAATTATAAACAAAAATGCATCCTACAGTACTACAGTAAGTAGAAGAAATTCAATGTAATAGATATTTTACGCATGATATTACATTTTCACAGTATTATTTGGGTCTATACAAGAAAATAAAATGTATAGCTGCATTTTTTATATTTTAGGATGGGATGGGTCCTGTGGATGATCATGTTTGCTGGTCCATGGGAAAGATTGAAAATCCCTGTCGTACATGAATGTTCGACCGCCTGTTTTAATAGAAATCAAACATGTTTATTACCACCATTTACTGATTCCTTCTGACTGTCCTGCCTTCTGGATATTAGCATAAGCACTGATAATTCAAAACCCACATCAAGGGCTCAGTAATACTGAGTAACCCACAGAAACTCGTCGTATCCGCAGGTGTTCAAACTCCTGAGCTCCAGAGTCCAGCAAAAACACAGAGAGGTTCTTCTAAGATCACGGCTCCCTCTGCTGGTAAAGGAATCGCCGCTTTTAATATCATCTGTGTGTTTGAGCAGAAGTTGCAGCTTTTATCTGACGGCTGTAAACATAAGCCACAAATCTGACAGTCTTACTTAACCACCTTGTAACCATCACCCAGACTGCATTTTTCTAAATGTCATAATCATTTGTTAACAAACAAGTACAGGTGAAACTCAAAAAAGTTGAATATGGTGCAAAAGTTCATTTATTTCAGTAATTCAACTTAAAAGGTGAAACTATTATATTATATAGACTCATTACATGCAAAGTGAGATATTTCAAGCCTTTATTTGTTATAATTTTGATGATTATGGCTTATTGTGAAAAGGTTTTCATAAGCTGTAATCCATAATCATCAAAATTATAACAAATAAAGGCTTGAAATATCTCACTTTGCATGTAATGAGTCTATATAATATATTAGTTTCACCTTTTAAGTCAACTGGTTCATCTGGTCGGCTCAACGCACAGAGATGGGACGCCCCCCCACCCATCGCAGGAGCCAAAATGAATGAAAAAATGAATGAATGACCTTTTAAGTTGAATTACTGAAATAAATGAACTTTCGCACAATATTCTAATTTTTCGAGTTTCATCTGTATTCATTACTTCAATGAGCTATTACATGATTGTTTAAATTATTTATTTATTTTAGCTAACTGTGATTTTGTATATGTACATTACCGAAATACATAATTAGACAGTTACCTCTGATAACAGACACTCTAAATTGTAATATGGACTCATGCACTTTCTGTAAAGCTGCTTTGAAACGATGTGTATTGTGAAAAGCGCTATATAAATAAATGTGAATTAAACTGTAGTTTGTTTCTGTGTGTGTACAGGACTTGATCCAAAAAAACCTGTCGGCAACATTACAACTGCAGGAACAGCGGGCAAATCAACGGTATTTGATTTAAAGATGACCGAAATGTTTTATTCATACAAGCAAAAGTCCGCTGAAATATTCATCATTGATTCCACTGCGCAGAAACAGAGGAAAAATGAAACTGGGAGTAAACCGAGGAAAAGAAACAACTCCAGCTCAGAAGAGGCTGTGGTTCCTCCATCGGCCGCTGATCCGGGGAATGACTCGGACTCGGACTCCAGTTTAGACGTGGATAAGTGGAGGAGACTGCTTTCTGAATTCTCAGGTGAGAAGAAACTACAAATGCTCAATAGAAAGCATCGAAACGCTTCAGTTTATAACGCACTGTCCTGCAGAATGGATGAAGCTCACAAACCCCAACATCAAGATGTGAATTGTTTCATCTTAAATGTACTTTGCATAAAGACAATTGAGCTCTTTTTCATAAAAAGTAAGATTTTCTTAATGTCTTCTGCTCACCAAGGCTGCATTTATTTGATCAAAAATAAGTGATATTGTGAAATATTAATACTATTTTAAATGCCGGTTTTCTATGTGAATATATAGTAAAGTGTAATTTATTCCTGTGATCAAAGCTGAATGTTCAGCATCATTACTCCAGTCTTCAGTGTCACATGATCCTTCAGAAATCACTCTAATATGATGATTTGATGCTTAAGAAACATTTATGATTATTATCAATGTTGACACTATTTTAGTGGAAACTGATGAATTTAATTTCTCAGGATTCTATGATGAATATACAAAATTCAAAAGAACACCGTTATTCGAAACTATAATCTTTTGTAACATTATAAAGAGGTCAGTTATGTGATTTAAAAAAAAAAAAAAAATTGGCCAAAGAGATCAGAAATAATCATTTTTCATGAATGGTTTAACAAATCACCTTGAGTTCCATAACTTTTTGTTGGGATGGTCTGAATATGATCTGGTTAAATTTTTGTGAAAATCGGAGCCACAGCCTTAGCCTGGTTAAAACCAGACCATTCTCAGTTGTAAGTGAGTTATGGTCTGGCAAAGCGTCATAGACAAATCATTTCCAGAGGGGCGTCACCAACGGACGTCGCGGATAGACCTAAACCAATCAGAGCGATGAAGGAGATGACGTATGCAGAGCGGCAGAAACATCTCCGAGTGTTGTTCTTTGCTCGGTTTTTAACTAAAAGGAAACGTTCAAACCGCTTAAAACACACGCGATAGCTGATTGGAACGAGTGATGCTCGACGGCGGCATCCATCTTTGTAATGTAGGCTACAAAATCTGCTTTAAAATCCCAGCGCTGTCGTCATCGTGTAAACCCCGCCCCAACGCTTCTGATTGGTGCCTCGATTTCGGCGGATTGGAAATGGGCTTGAATGAGCTCTTTGCCAGACTAACTTTCAGAGCAAATCTAAATTTGCCGGAAGTTGTCTGGGTTTTCCCAGGCTACCACAGCCTAGGAGGAGTTCGAAAATGTACTTTTTTCCCCAAAATTCAATCGAATCATCACGAGCCAATGACGAAAAAGGATTTTTGTTTCTAGCCCTTACGGTGCAAAAGTTATTAGCATAAACATGAGTGCATCTTTGGACACTTGGTGGCGCTAGAGGGATTGAGTTAGAGACTCCAAATTTGCAATGATGACAGTTTAGACTGTCCCCTATCTTTGTGCCAAATTTCACAAGTTTCCCACAAGAGGTTGCCATAGACTTCCAGAACGGAAACGGAAGAAGAATAAACGGAAAAATAATAAGAACGTCAACGGATACAATAAGTTTTTTTCATTTGTTTGTTTTGTTTTCATTTAGTCTTTTTCCTATTTTATTCTCTTAGAAATGTTATTCCTTTTTGATCATTATCCAGTGTGTTGTCTCCTTTGTCGGGGCTTGTGAGCCGGCCGTGACACTACAAACATAATAATCCAATCATAGACACTGTCTATTTAAATCCAAAACAGCAACTTTCTTTCTTTTCTTCTGGCTGGGCTGTGTATTTCCCATTCATTTTCGATGTAAGGGTGAAATGTGATGTGCTTTCACAAGATTAAGATTTGTCTTTTGTTACCAGACGTCGACAGAGAGAAAATGGATGTTCTTTCAATTTTGGACGAATCTTTTGGGAAGATCCCAGAAAGGAGCAGGGCGAATAGGAAGCCGAGAACAAAAAAGAAAGTGGTCAACCAATCCAAGGAGGGAAAGTCCGATACGCCAGAAAACGAAGCGGCGGCCAAATCCGATGACATTTCTGTAACAACCGATGCATCTAAGAATTCAGAAAAGACGAAAGATGAAGACACTGAAGCTCCTAAAGTCAAGAAAAAGACTGGAAATAAGAAAAATAGTAGCATCTCAGGTCTTGATGTGGTTGAGACCCCAAAAAGGACTAAAGCTAAAACTACCAACACCTCATGTGATCAGGATGAGACCGATAAAGCAGAACATCATGAAACGAACGGACTTTTGAAAGGAACTAAAGAGGTTGGTGTATCAGATTCAGAAGCCATTTGGACTCCTAAAAGAGTTCATTTTGAACCACTTAAGAGTTTTTCACATCAGGTTGTGAAAAATGCTTGTAAAGATAACGGTACCTCAGAAACCAGCACTCCAGCTAAAACGGCTAAAAAAAAGAAAGGCCTTTCTGAAGCCAGTGATGTTGAAACTGACAACAATCCCTCAAATACTCAAGAAGTTAAGAAAGCTGCTGTGGAAACTCACTGTGAAGAAACCAACCTTACGACGGACCAATCAGAGACGCCATCAAAGAAAGTGAAAAACAAGAAGTCTAAAAGTGTTGCGGAGCCCGTTCCTAATGAAACGCCTGCTAAGAAGGGTAAAGCCAAGAAAACTGAAGTTCCTTCTGAGATTGACCAAGAAACAACATCTGAATCCGTTAACCCTGATTCTTCATCTAAAAAAGCCAAACATAAGGCTAGTGAAAGCCTTTCAGAAACGCTTGAGTCTGAAAAGCCAGCTAAAAAGGCCAAACGTAAGACCAGTGAAAGCATTTTAGAAACAACTGAGTCTGAAAAGCCAGCTAAAAAAGCCAAATGTAAGGCCAGTGAAAGCATTTCAGAAACCCTTGAGTCTGAAACGGCATCCAAAAAAGCCAAACATAAGGCTAGTGAAAGCCTTTCAGAAGCGCCTGAGTCTGAAACGGCATCTAAAAAAGCCAAACACAAGACAAGTGAAAGCATTTCAGAAACAATTGAGTCTGAAAAGCCAGCTAAAAAGGCCAAATGTAAGACAAGTGAAAGCATTTCAGAAACGCTTGAGTCTGAAACGGCATCCAAAAAAGCCAAACATAAGGCTAGTGAAAGCCTTTCAGAAGCGCCTGAGTCTGAAACGGCATCTAAAAAAGCCAAACACAAGACAAGTGAAAGCATTTCAGAAACGCTTGAGTCTGAAAAGCCAGCTAAAAAGGCCAAATGTAAGACAAGTGAAAGCATTTCAGAAACAATTGAGTCTGAAAAGCCAGCTAAAAAGGCTAAAGCCGTGAAAGAACCTGGTGAGGTGGAAACTAGCAGTAAAAAGCCCAAAACAGTCCCGTCGGACGCTGACCTCCTTCAGTTCGACTCTGCAAACCGCTCTTTGAAAAAAAAGAAAAGCAAGATGGCTGCTGACAGCGTGGAGATCCAGCCTGACGTTCCTGCAGAAACGCCTGTGAAAAGTCTTCAATCTCAAAAAAACGATGTTGCCGATGGTTTGGGAAATGAGGAAACCTCCGGTCAAGAGCTAAACACTCTGTCTAAAAAACAAAAAAAACACAAAACGGAGGAAGCTTGTGACGTTCCTGCCGCGCCAGAGGCCAAGAAAGTCAAAGCGAAGAGCAAAAACAAGAAGGGTGAAAATGCAGATGCTCTCCAACCTCCTCCACCAGAAGAAGAAGAAGAAGAAGAAGCTGCAGTGAGCCAGAAGAAAAAAAGTGAGTAATTAAAAAATATGCGTTTTTCGTGTGATTTTGGATATTTTCATATGAATAAAGAATGTTAACAGTATTGCTAAGCAAGGTGTAGCCATTAGCTGCATATAAAATGCTAAATATAACATATTTCAACATCTTTTTTTGACTTTAAGCCATTTTAAACCGCGCCCGGAATATGATACAAATACTCGATGGTGGTTTAAAGTGAGCTTCAAGTAAAAGTGTAATATTAATCTCTTAAATTGCGTCATGTAGCTTGATGCTACTTGCTCTAATCCGCCTGCTGCAGGAGCATGTGTTAAATGTGTTAACGTGGCTTTTTTACGGCATCCTTCAATTCTTTCTTCAATGTTCCCTTTCACGCTGAAATGATGTACAGAGAAGAAGAGAGGAGAAGAAACGGAGGGAATCGTCCCTGTATCTGCTCCAGTCGAGGAGCTGGTCGTGCAAAAAAAGGTAAAATTGATGGTTGGTTTCATAAATTGCGTGTTCAGAAGCATGCTGGGACTAACGAGCAGTTTTCTTGTGAACTATCGCTAGGTCAAGGTCAAGTTTATTTGTATAGCACTTTTAACCCTTTAAGTGTCACCCCCCTTTTTTTGAATATACATGAAAATGCACATTTTAAACTTAAATGGTTGTAAATCAAGAATGCTTTGGAATATAGACGTAAGATTGGTCTTGTTTTAAAGAAGACATTTGGCAGATTTTTGTAGAAGTGAAACAGAAAAAAAGTTATAGAAGTTTGAGTTTATGAAAATGTACAATGTAAAAATTTTTATTATTCATATTTTATATAAAATATATATTTTCAAAACCTGGGCGACTCTAAAACGGCAAAAAAATCAAAGCCAAAAATCTGAACAAGTTGTGTTTCAAATTTTAGGTTGATATTAGAGATGCGCGGTTGGCGGTTATAGCCGCGGATAAACCGCGGATGACGTGCCAATTTTTTTTACAATTAAATTCGGGCGGGTGGCGGGCGGTTTCTAGTCTCGCGGCTGTCATCAGCAGCGCCTTGTATCAGCGGATGGCGGGCGGGTGCGGATTTGAAAATTGGTCAAAAACGTTGGTGCGGATGGATGGCGGACGGATGATGAGTTTTGTGATGCGGTTGCGGATGAAATAATAGCCCATCCGCGCATCTCTAGTTGATATCTCAAAAAATGAGCTTTCAGTGAGATTTTGTTTGGGCGCAGTACCGAACGCTTCCACTAGGGCACAACCAGACTCCATTACTGCCCATATAAGGGCGCTGCCATTTCCATATGTGTTTTGAGTGATCTGAACCATTATTTCCACAATTTTCAGTGGACAAGTAGACATCCTATTCAGAAGTAATATGAGAAGTTTGGCAGATTTTGATATGAATTCAACCTCTAAGAAACACATAAAAAGAACAAGTATGTGCGTTATAGCTTCCTGCCACATCACAAATGGTGAATCTATATTTTTTTTCTTTATATTTAAAAAAAATTCAGACCTTTTTTTCTAAAATAATTGAATGGATGCTATCTTTTGAACTCTTGGCATGAAAACAAACTGAGGTTTCTACCCTTCTTTCATGATTTTTCATATTCATCACTATTTCAAAATAAAGGTCTAAACACGCCTTAGGAGTATGAAAATATTCTTGTTGCAAATTGATAAATTACGGCTCCTCTGTAACTAATATTCTCTATATCAGGGGCCGTACTCACAAAGAATGTTAAGGCTAAAAGTAGCTCCTGACTGGCGAATTTAGGAGCAACTCCTAAAAATAATTGGCGTGTCACTCCTAACTTTAGGACTCCTAATTTTTTTCACTAAGAGTAATTCACGAAGCATTTCAGCCCTAAAAGTAGCACCTAAGTCTGGGACAGCTTAAAAGAAGTCGAGAGGACTCCTAACTCACTAAGACCTAGGCTATTCACAAAGGATCGTAGCGCACACTAGCGCCTCTCGCAGTCGTCCCGGGGTCCGCGACACAAGCGGGAATGCTGCAAACAAATCCTCTCCCATTCTCACGCTTAGTTTTGCTTGATATCGCAGTGCCGAATTTCCCTTTTATTATGTTTTTTTTGTTTTTTTTCAGCACCAGCTGGGCCAGCAGCAGTAACTGATCCTGCGTCCAGTTGGGGTTTCTTTTACGTTTTGGCGAGTTCATAATCCACCGTCATTCAACTATTACATTACTTCAATAGGAGCAACATTTCCTTGCTTTAAGTAGTCTATTTAGGCTAATAGGATGTCAATTAACCAAGCAAGTGTTAATGCAAGTGGCGTTTTTTCATTATTAGGCAAGTGGCGGTTTTCATTGGGGTATTAGGCTACCTTGATTTAATTTATTTTAATTCACGACTTTTCTCTCTCTCTGCCTTTTTAGAATTACACTTCACTGGGGCCTGCACAAACATGTCATTATATATGCATTTCGATGACATTACTATTATTATTTTGTGTAGGACACAGACATATTTAGATTTGGTAATTCCATGATTTGTTGCATCTGTGTTATGCTCCGCATGATGGCCCTGCCATCTAATAACCAATCACCGTGATCATTGCGAGGAAGTGACGTCATCCATAGCAACGAAGACTCACTCTTAGTTTAGGAGTTGTCATTTTTCCTTACTAATAGTAGGTCTGAAAGGCGTTGTGAATAACTTTTAAGAGAAAACTCCTTGCTTAAATATTTTAGTGCGATTTAGGAGTACTCCTAGTGGTAAGATAAAATTCTTTGTGAATACGGCCCCTGAAGTATTTGCTATTATTTAGTATGTCCGGCTTTACAGGGTTAATTCTGCTTCTGCTATGAATCTTTAATTGACTTTCTGTAATAAATCTCTCTTGGATTGATTGAGTTCTGTGAGTAAATGACTTTAATTCCTCTTTTATTGTCCAGAAAAAGAAGAAAGAGAAAGCGCTCGTGGACTCAACAGCACATAATGAGACTGAGAACTGATGTCTCGAACAAACTTCTGAAATAATGGCCGAGTCTCAATGCATGCTCCGTCCCGACTGTGAGGATCATGTGTGTTCATATGTATGTCAGTCAGTGTTTGTATGTTTTATATTTTTATGGAGGTGAATTTTGAGAAATATTTAGTATTCTGATTTTGTTGTTGTTTTGTTTTTCTATTTTTGATAACTGGACTTTGTGATGAAGAAGAATTTTATGCCTTTTGTATTCTTTTAAACGTGTTTTTAAAAAACAAATCATGAGAGCCATGAAAAAAACTAATCATGCTGTTTTATTTTCATTTTGGGTCATCTGATAAGTCATTCTTTTCTTTTTTTTTAGGTAAATTTAAAAAGTAATAAGTACAATTGTTTAGGATGAACCAGTGAATTGTATAAATGTCATTTTGTGACTTCTATGTTAATATTTGTGACCGTTAAGGGAAAAAATGTATTTGTCTTTTTTTTTTTGTGTGGTTCAAAATACACGGATGATTTTATTTATATTGGTCTCACCTGATTCTTCACACTGACATCAACTGCAGATGTACATATGTAGCCATATTTACTATTTAAAGTTTAGCTGGGACTAGGGCTGGGCGATATGGCTGAAAACTGTATCACGATATCAGTGTTTCATATCGGTCGATATCGATAATTATTGATTTTTTTATGACCCATTTAAAATAAGGACCAGGAGAAAAGATATATTACATTTAAACATTTTTATTTTAAACTTAACCTTCCTCTGATTACAATCCCAAGACAGAAATGTCAACACAACCATGGAAAACTCAAATAATTAAAATGTAAACATAAGTCTAAATTCACAATCAGACCTGCAAACTCCTCAGAGTAAAAAAGGTGACAGTGGCGCGGCGGGACGTGGGTGGTGGGGGTTTGTGATCGTATGTGCACCCTGCTTGATTTTTTTTTTTGAGACATCACGGTTCGGTACGATTTCGGTACAATGGAGTGAAAAGCAAAACAGAAATATAGAAGGCATTTTTATAAATGTCTTAAGCCTTGTATTTTTTAAATAAGATTTATTAATAAAGGCATAGAACCAGTTTATTTATAGTGCACTGATAATAGTTTTATATAATTGGTTTATTAATTAAACTAATAAAAAGATAGATATGAGATATGTTTGGTAATTGTACCTGAATGAATTTAAAATTAATTTGCTATATTTCAGATCAATATATTTGTTTTCCTTAATTTTAATTAACCCTAACTTTATTCTCATCAGAGTTATAAATAATTGATTTCCGTATAAAATAATCTACCAACACATTTCACTTTCTTTTTTAATCAATGTGTAACTTAAAAATAAACATATAGTGCTCTGTTTTGAGGACAAGAAATGAAAACCAATGCGATATGATGAATGTCCAAAAGATGGAACACACAGACAGTGCCGCTGCTAGCCATTTTGGTGCCCTAAGCATAATTCCTTTATGATGCCCCCCCCCCCCCCCCCCCCCTAAAAAAAAAAAAAAAAAAACATTTTTATTTAGGATTTTCATTTAGGGGGGCTAAGCCCCCAATGAGGGTATGATTTATAAAAAAATTAAAAAGCTAAAAAGTAACACTTTAGATTAGGGTCTAATGCTTATTATTAACTAGTTTCATTACCATGCAATGGCATGGTTTTATAATCACTGGGATCCCGAATTTGAGGCAGGTTAGTTAGGGGTGTTCGGGGGAAATTTGGGATTTTTTTTTTAACTACAGATGTGCATTTTTAAGATGTTATGAAGGCAAAAAAAAAAAAAAAAAAAAAAATCTATAACAACAGCTTTAAAACCATGTCAGTGGGCAGCTGATTATTTTTTTTCTCCTCATCAGCATCACACTCTTTTTCTCTTTGTTTTTATCTTGCCCTGTCTCTTCCCCTCCTAAAGTTGGCTTTTTTAATTTACTAAAGGTTACAATTTGTATTTTATTCTCAATATGTAGGCTACACATTCATTATAAATCCTGTGCCTAACATGATGAAAACGGCTTTGTTCATGTTTCTTGTCCCCTCACAATGACAGTAGCCTAAACTATTACACTAGGCTACATGTTACATAGGCCTATTTTGCAGTACAAAATGGCGAAATTTGACAAAACTATATTAGTTTGCCTAATTATTTTTTGTCATTCGTTTAACATTTATGACCTAAAAAAAACTGTCAAATAAAGTTAAGTTTAGCTACTTACATCTTATCTCGCACTTGACCGTACACTGAAGCGTCGAGTTGCACTGTTAAAATTCGCGCTCAGCGTCTGTGAACATAAAGCCCGCCTACTTTGATTTGATTGGTCATCTCAAATATTCTGACATTGACGAGCAGTGACAGACCAATGAGGCTCAGATGAACACACACATGAACACATCACACACACACACACACCCTGTCCTGTGTTTCTGACGTGCTCTCTGTCTCTGCTCGGCGCCGCTGCGGAATGAAGAGGAAGAACGCGCTGAATCTGATTATAACAAGAAGTTTGATGATTGGTTTTTCATTAGGCTATTTTTGGTGCCCCCTCAGCATTTGGTGCCCTACGCACAGCGCGTGATGCGCGTGGTGGGAGCGGCGGCGCTGCACACAGACTGTTTTACAAAGGGGTTGGATAAATATGTTTTGCTTTTAAAACGGTGTGTGACAGTTGTAGGTTACAGTTTGACAAGAAATACAGTGTGACAAAAGCACAATGTTGTGTTTTATTGCGAGTATAGGCCTACACAAATATAAGTAAACACTTTGCAGACTGAATGATGTCCTGTATTAACAAAATGACGGAGTATGTTTTTATGTCTCCACTGTTCGATCGCGCCCGCGTGTCTCTCTCTCTCGCGCCCGTGCCTACTCTCTCTCTCTCTCTCGCGCGCGCGCCGCACACACACACACACACACACACACACACACACACTCCAGCATTGCAATCTTGACATCGCAGCCTGTTCATTATGCTGTGTTCACATCAAACGCGAATAGAGCGAATTATCCAAAAATGTTTCGCAATTCTAGCCTGCATGGCATGCAGATGAAGGACACTCATTTTCTGCTTATCAATCGCCGGTTACTGAAGAAGAACCCAGCAGCACGAGACAACGATGGCGCAACCAAACTGACACGTTACATGATTGCCTGAGCGTGTCACTCCCTACGTTGCTAGGTTACCAGAGAGCGAGTGCCTTGATAATGCAACCAAGCTTCGCAACCTGTGGTTTCTTCCGACGAAGAAAAAAAATATCGAACGTTTTATCGAACACATTTTTTATTGATATCGATCACGTGTCTATCGCGATACATATCGTTATCGTTTTATCGCCCAGCCCTAGCTGGGACATATCGAAGGGTTTTTTAAGAGATAAATGTGTATCAACATATTTTCTCCTTTTTACCCTGAAGATAAAGTAATTTTTCAAATGTGTATATCTCCTAAATATTACATAACTTATCAGTTCACTAGAATATAAATGACCTTAACCTTAATAGACATGGACTAAAATCCACAAACCTCACATTTTAAATTCAGAGGGGTTTTTTTCATGCACTGATAAATTATGAGATTTTGGGCTATTTTGCTTCTATAACATGTCAGCCTACTGGAATAAAACATCTGAAATACACATTAAACTTTATTTTATTACACTTTTTATATTTGCATTTTGCATCTGTAGATTTCAATTATAATACATATCTTTGAAGGCGTTTTCCCTTGTGCACTGAGCCAGAAATGTCTGTATCTATATTCTAAAATATAATATCTATAATCTAAAGATTTTTTTTTACTGTAGGGTTTGTATATATATTCTGATTTATGGAGTGATATAAGAGAAATGTCCAAAATCCCTCCTGTAAAACCTCTTAATAGTTTCCAGCTTTCTGTGAAATGTATTATACAAATTAGTGCATATGTAATTGTAGAATGCCTCATTTGCATATTTAAAACAAAACATTACAGAAAATGTGTAATACAAAACAATTGTCTTGGTGTACTGTGATTAATCAACTGGGAAAGTATGGTGATATACTGTATGTTAGTTGAATCCTTTTCTCTTTTCTTGCCTTAATATGCAGAAGTTTTTAGGTGGATTTTCCCAATTTACTGTCATGACAAACCCCCGGTTTCACAGACCAGGATTAAACCTAGTCCCAGACTAAAATGCATGTTTGATATTTTTTTTTTTTACTAAAAAAGTAACATGCAATGGCATATCTAAAAATATGTCAGTGCCATTGTTTTGTCTCAAGATGCACCATTTTTTTTAAAAGTTTTTTTGTAATAAAAGCTACTTAAAAGTCCTGAATTGAACTAAGGCCTAAGATCCTGGCTGAATCTAAGCACTGTCTGTGAAACCAGGCATGTTTTGCAAGATTAAAATCGCGACCCGACAAGGATGGGATTCGAACCCACGCGTGCAGAGAACAATGGATTAGCATCGCCTTAACCACTCGGCCACCTCGTCACGGCTGGCGCATTCTTCCTGATCACGTGGAGCTGGCGATTTCAAAAATAACCTGAACTCGGTTTCAAAATCAATTCTGTTCTATCTACGGATTGATCAGGTGAGTAACATTCGCGTTTCTGTATCTGTGCTCGCCCCCGTCCCGTTACTGAAATGTCCACTAGGGGGCGCCGTAACCTTCCTTGCAGATGGTCCCTGTTCTGTATAATGTTCAATGTCTGAGAAAAAAGTGTTAAAATAGAGAGAGATTGATAACGAAAGTCAGAAGAGGGAAATATGTCAACTTTACCGTCACTCCCACACCCGCTGTATTAGAAACACACTCACAGCAGCGTTTACTAGTTTTCTTGTAATTTGTTGCAAAGGTACAAATCTATAGCGTTATAAATGTACATCATAAACTTTGTTTTTAAATGAAAGAATAAAAAACGTTCCACGATTATATTTGTGCTCATTATGACCGTCGTTAAACTAAAACCATAGGTTAAAAACGCGTTATCCCAGTCTGTGAAAAAGGTCCCATAATATCATTCCGCGATATCGTTGGTGTGACGCGGTCCGCACTTGAGAAGTAATATCACGTTTTAGTTTAGGTCGGTCTGACACCAATTAGCTCAGGATCAAAAGATGGACAATATCACAGAATGTGTTGTATGACATGTGAAAACTAACAAGAAATTATTTAACAATTAAATAAAATAAAAATAAAACCCAACGAATGTTCTTTCAGAACTGGAGGAGAAGTAGTTCTTCAACATTAAGTCAGAAACAGAATTGCTTATAAACTATTATTCACAAAAAAGTATATAACTGTTGAGCAACCGGAACGGCTACAGCAACCACTTCAAAACAGAGAGAACACACATCCACTTTAAAACACTTTAGATTTGTTATTAATAAACAAATTTGGTTAATTTTGATATTAATAAAATACATCTTTGTTTAGCCTATCTAGTTTTCACAAGCAAGTCCTTTTGACATGGTGTTTGGCTTTTAAACATATAACTTCTCTCCTCACTCCTTTTTTTATTTGGAATAATATGTATAATACACACCAAAGGAAAACTTTATTTTTTAGACATTGGTTTGTGTCTGATATACTATTAGTTGGTCAGTTGTTGAATTCTGATGGTCAGTTTTTGAGTATTAATGAACTATGTCTGAAATTTAAGTGTCATATTTCTGTTAAAGAATATTATATTGTCATTAATTCTATTTCTGCCAAAATTGTATCTCTATTCAGAAATCAGGGCACTACACAAAACTGTGTAACACTGTATATGAAGTAAAGTCTCCAAACATTTATTTTTTAGATAAACTTGATTTAATTAATGATAAATGCAGTAACCAATCGATTAGATCTCTTTTTGTTAATATCTCTTCTCCTCCTCCATCTAAACTTGTTTGGGTTAATAATAATATGTTTCCCTCATTTGAGTGGGAACATTTTTGGGGATTCTTAGTCGGTATCGTGTAACAAATAAAACCAAAGAAGTGTCATTTAAAATTGCTCACAGAATATATCTGTGAAAGACAGAGTAGAGCGTTTTCATCTGATATTGATTAATTGCTGTTTTTGTAATTGTGAAAGAGTTTATTATTTACTTATTTTTTGAATATCATCAATATTTTGACGTGAGATGTCTAAATTTCTGTGTTAAAATGAACTGCAACCTAGTCTTAAATGCGTCATCTGTCTAACTTCATCCAAATGAATATAACTCTTCCAAAAGAAAAATATATGCTATCGGGTTGTTTTTGTTATTAGGAAAATTTTATATTCATCAAACTCAAAACACAAGTTTGCTCATTTTTAAAACAGCCTTTAAAATATATTTCGAGTCTGTAAAGTTTTTTAAAAATGTAAAAGCCCAAAGATCTGTATCTCTGCTAAATGAGTTTAACATGTTTGTGATGCCCCTTAAGTTTATTTTTTTCTTCGTTTCTTTTATTTAAATTATTGTTGTTTCAAGTTATACTTACCAAATGTGAAAATGTGTAAAAGAAATGTGTCAAGAACTTGATATTATTGAATTCTGTAATTTTGAAAATTCAATACAAAAATTCAATAAGAAGAAAAACAACACCACCACTTGTCCCGGACAAGCAAACAAGCGTTACTGTCACGCCCTGAAATACAAAGTTGAACCAAAGCCGTTGTAAATGTTTATCAATTTAAAGACTTACATTGAAAAATAAATAAATAAATAAACAAATAATAGGTTAAGTGTATCAGTTTACCTTTTCCACATCTATCCATTTCTGTCGGAAGTTGAGAGGTGGATATTGGTTGATATAATAAAATAATCAGTTAAAATGCAAAAAAACAAAAAACAAAAGTTAAATAAAAATGTTTCCTTTCATAATTTTTAACAAACAAGTTTGGATCATTTATTGGATCAAGTTTCTTAAGTGGTGGGCCCATTACATATTCAAAACAGTAATATCCTAAACTAAACCTAAACTAATATATATCATTTGAAAGCTTAGAATCTCTAGTTTCCATATTTGGCGTTTTTCATTTTTTTTTTTTGATTTTCAAAATAAATTACATAAATTATTGTAATATAATTATGATTTTTGGCTTTGATTTCCTTGCAGTTTTTAAAGAGTCCAACATGTTTTGAAAAAAAATTTTTTTATATACAATTTGAATAATTACATTTTTACATTGTACATTTTCACAACCTCAAACTTCTATAACTTTTTTTCTCTTTCACTTTCTTAATTTTTTTTTTGTCCCACTTCTACAAAAATCTGCCAAATGCCTTCTTTAAAACAAGACCAATCTTACACTCTTACATCTACACTCACCGGCCACTTTATTAGGTACCCCATGCTAGTAACGGGTTGGACCCCCTTTTGCCTTCAGAACTGCCTCAATTCTTCGTGGCATAGATTCAACAAGGTGCTGGAAGCATTCCTCAGGGAGTTTGGTCCATATTGACATAATGGCATCACACAGTTGCCGCAGATTTGTCGGCTGCACATCCATGATGCGAATCTCCCGTTCCACCACATCCCAAAGATGCTCTATTGGGTTGAGATCTGGTGACTGTGGAGGCCATTTTAGTACAGTGAACTCATTGTCATGTTCAAGAAACCAATTTGAAATGATTAGAGCTTTGTGACATGGTGGAAGTAGCCATCAGAGGATGGGTACATGGTGGCCATAAAGGGATGGACATGGTCAGAAACAATGCTCAGGTAGGCCGTGGCATTTAAACGATGCCCAATTGGCACTAAGGGGCCTAAAGTGTGCCAGGAAAACATCCCCCACACCATTACACCACCACCACCAGCCTGCACAGTGGTAACAAGGCATGATGGTTCCATGTTCTCATTCTGTTTACGCCAAATTCTGACTCTAACATCTGAATGTCTCAACAGAAATCGAGATGTATCAGACCAGGCAACATTTTTCCAGTCTTCAACTGTTCAATTTTGGTGAGCTCTTGCAAATTGTAGCCTCTTTTTCCTATTTGTAGTGGAGATGAGTGGTACCCGGTGGAGTCTTCTGCTGTTGTAGCCCATCCGCCTCAAGGTTGTGCGTGTTGTGGCTTCACAAATGCTTTGCTGCATACCTCGGTTGTAACGAGTGGTTATTTCAGTCACTGTTGCCCTTCTATCAGCTCGAACCAGTCGGCCCATTCTCCTCTGACCTCTGGCATCAACAAGGCATTTCCGCCCACAGAACTGCCGCTCACTGGATGTTTTTTCTTTTTCGGACCATTCTCTGTAAACCCTAGAGATGGTTGTGCGTGAAAATCCCAGTAGATTAGCAGTTTCTGAAATACTCAGACCAGCCCTTCTGGCACCAACAATCATGCCACGTTCAAAGTCACTCAAATCAACTTTCTTCCCCATACTGATGCTCGGTTTGAACTGCAGGAGATTGTCTTGACCATGTCTACATGCCTAAATGCACTGAGTTGCCGTCATGTGATTGGCTGCTTAGAAATTAAGTGTTAACGAGCAGTTGGACAGGTGTACCTAATAAAGTGGCCGGTGAGTGTATATTTCAAAGCATTCTTGAATTATAACCATTTAAGTTTGGAATGTGCATTTTCATGTCTATTCAAAAAAAAAAAAAACTTTGCCACAATCTCCGGTTGTTTATGTAAATGTTTAATTCGATTTAAAATAGATATTTCATTAATAATATCTGTATTTTCCAATGTTGGAGTTGTTGTTAGCCAAAAAGCACACATGTACGGTTTTGTAAGAGTGGTTTTCAGATAAAAACTAAATATTGTTGGTCCTGGGCGAAGAAAAATGAAGAACCTCGGCTTTAAATTGTTCACTGTTTCCAGTGAAAATGAAAGTAAATAGACTTTTTGTAGTGCTTTTCATGGGGTAAAAATAGGAATCTACAAAACCCCACACACAGCAATCCATCATCCTCTCTTTCTCTTCTTACATCATTCTTTATGACTCAAAGCCTCATTATTACTCATCAGGATTATCATCTCTTTAGCTCCTCCCTCAACACTTCTCAGTTATATGTGTCCTGACAGCATCACATTCAGTCAGTGTGTCTAACTTGAGCTCCAGTGATGAAGGCTGTGCCGTTCCTCCTCTTCCTCGCGGTGTGTCTGAAGTCTTCCAGTGTCCTGGCGAAGACTCTGGAGTTCTTCATCGCAGCAGTGGAAACCAAGTGGGAATATGTGTTTACAGACACAACCGATCCTGCTGCAAACCAGAGGTGGGCACTTTTACTATTACACACACACACACACACACACACACACACACACACACACACACACACACACACACACACACACACACACACACACACACACACACACACACACACACACACACACACACACACACACACACACACACACACACACACACACACACACACACACACACACACACACACACACACACACACATAACAATTACATGCACTACAACCCATAGATTTATCATAAACAATGCATTTTCTATGAACATTTTTACACGGTGTTCTCAAAAACACAACAGTGGTACTTCATGTGACCATAAAGCATAATGCCAGTATTGTAAAGAAACAGCTTTGAGAAAGTGTGTGATCTTTTCATTAGTTGACATGGACTCAGTCCAGAAACATTCAAAAGCAAAAACTTTGAGGACTGTCCAAAATTCAATTACGCTCCCAGTTAAACAGAGCATAACCAAAGTGAACAAAGTTTAGTTAATAGCTTGATTGATGGAAGCCTAATTTGGTAACTTTTTGATCCCAGATTCCTGTTATTTATATTTGATATATTCTAGTAGTGATTTTCAATCTATGAATAGTGCATGCGGTCAGAACAAACATCTTTCTGTTTTTAGTGATAACAGTTCGTTAGTGTGAAACCGCAGCGGATCATTTGCTGAATATGCATATTTCTTGAAACCATAGATAATGCTTTATGAGGCATAGAACATTCTGTGACTAGAAGTCAATACTGAAATATTAAAAGACCATATCTGGTATAATTACTGAACATTTAGTTTTGTTTATTTATTTTAAAAAGGGACTAAATGGAGTAACTCAAAACCCAAATTTGCTCATTTTAAAACAGCCTTTATATGTATTTAGAGTCTGTAAAGTTTTTAAAAAATACAAAAGCCCAAAGATTTGTATCTCTGCTAAATGAGTTTAACATGTGTTTGTGATGCTTTTTATTTTTTTTAAGTTTATTTTTTATTTAAATTATTGTTGTTTCAAGTTATAGTTACCAAATGTGAAAATGTGTAAAAGAAATGTGTCAAGAACTTGATATTGAATTCTGTCATAAAAAAATTAAAAAAATTATAGTGGCACTGGAGAGCGGAAGAGGGGAGGGCATGACACAGCCTATCACACACACACACACACACACACACACACACACACACACACACACACACACACACACACACACACACACACATATTATTGATCTGCCTTACTTAAGGTGGACGTTGACGCAATTTTCTTTTAGAAACAAACTTTGTTATATTATTTTCATGTTATCTCTGTAAAGCTGCTTTGATACAATCTGTATTGTAAAAAGCGCTATATAAATAAAGGTAACTTGACTTGACTTGACACACACACACACACACAGGAGCGCAACTGCACCTTTGCTGAGATCAAAATCCTCTTTCACTTGCCCCTTCAAAAAAAGAAGAAGAGGAAGAAAAACAACAACACTCCTTGTCCCGGACAAGCAAACAAGCGTTATTGTCGAGCCCTGAAATACAAAGTTGAACCAAAGCCGTTGTAAATGTTTATCAATTTAAAGACTTACATTGAAAAATAAATAAATAAACAAATAATAGGTTAAGCTTATGAGTTTACCTTTTCCACATCTATCCATTTCTGCTCACGGGACAGACTTAAACACACACACACGCACGCACGCACACACACACACACACACGCGCACGCACACACACACACACACACAGTGTTTACAGAGTTGGATTGATTTTTAAAATAATTTTAGCTTCAATTTAACAAGACCAATAGATGTAAATCGATTACAATAGATGTAAATCGATTACAATAGATGTAAATTGTCAAAACTAAGATCCTACAATGGTGACAATTTGGTTTTTCAATTAATATACAGAGTAAATAATAAGAGACCTAGCACTGAACCTTGGGGTACACCCATTGTATAATGTAAGTATTTACATTTACTTTTTTTTTACATTGTGTTGTATTGCACTGTATTGTGTTGTATTGTATAGATGGCTAGTTACAGTTTATTAATTTTTAACAGGAAATTTGCATCCGGTGTGCAGAAATACATCAAGGCTGTATATACGGAATACACCGACTCCACTTTTACAACACCAAAGTCAAAACCTCCATGGGCTGGTCAGTATAAACCCTGATTCCTGTCAAAAACTTTAAAGGGTTAGTTCACCCCAAAATGTAAACTCTGTCAGTAATTACTCTCCCTCGTGTTGTTCAACCCCGTAAGACTTTCGTTCATCTTCGGGACACAAATTAAGATATTTTTGATTAAATCTGAGAGCTGGATCACTCCTCCATAGGCTTCTTAAGGGATTGAAACTGGCCGGCCCAAAAGTTATGAAAGACATCGTTAAAATAGTCCGAGTGACGACAGTGGCTCAACCTTAAGTTTATCAAGCGACGAGAATACTTTTTGTGCGCAAAAAAAACAAAAAAAAATAACGACTTTATTCAACTCTTCATTTCCTTCTCTGTGGGCCTCGAGTGAGTTCACGTAGTGTAACAGCGCAGCGCTTCTGGGTTGTACGTCACACGCAGGCTCGCTATTGGCCGACGCTGGTCATGTGTGTGTGTGTGTGTGTGACGTACAACCCAGAAACGCTGCGCTGTTACACTACGTGAAATCTCGAGGCCCACAGAGAAGGAAATGAAGAGTTGAATAAAGTCGTTATTTTTGTTTGTTTTTTGCGCACAGAAAGTATTCTCGTCGCTTGATAAACTTAAGGTTGAGCCGCTGTCGTCACTCGGACTATTTTAACGATGTCTTTACTAACTTTTCTGGACCGGCCAGTTTCAATCCCTTAAGAAGCCTATGGAGGAGTGATCCAGCTCTCAGATTTAATCAGAAATATCTTAATTTGTGTCCCGAAGATGAACGAAAGTCTTACGGGGTTTAACAACATGAGGGAGAGTAATTACTGACAGAGTTTACATTTTGGGGTGAACTATCCCTTTAAGATGTTTCGAATTAACTTGGACAGAATGTTAATTTATTTGTGTTTCAGGTATTCAAGGGCCGACCATCAGAACAGTGGTGAACGACAGGGTCGTGGTGCACTTCAAAAACTTCGCCTCACAGTCTTTCAGTATTTCTCCCATCGGCATTCCTTACTGGAAACAATCGGAAGGTAAATCAATGAATGGATTTGCATTCATCTTCATGGAATTCATCATAATAGTGCAAGCTAGAACAAAGATAGACTTTGACTACGGCTTAGATATAGTAGATAGTCAGACTAAATCTAAATCAGACCGTTGCACAAAGCACTTCAGACTCTGACTATCTTTAGTAGGACTACACTGCAATGCATTCTGGGTAAAATAAGACACTTTTCAAAACAAAAAACATGGCGGATCGAGTAAGCGCATTCAACCGCTCGGCGCAGTTTACCCCAGCGGGAGATATGTGTTTGCTGGAGGAGTTTAACAGTTACAAGGACATTTTACTGGGGAAATTTAGCGGAGAATGTAGAAACAAGAAGAAATGTGTAATTTGGACAAAGATTGCTACGACAGTTAACAGCGTTAATCCGACCGTTGAGCGGAGCGTTAAAGACGTACAGAAAAGATACAAAAACATGGTTACAAGATGCCAAAAAAGAAATATTTAAGAGGAAATATCCAAAAACTAATATTTCCTTTCCCTTCTCATAGCTCTCTCCATAACGTCGTCAACAAATTATGAGCCATTTTCCCTTTTCTTTCGGCTGTTTGTAGTGTAACTGATTGTTACTGCTGGTTGCCAAGGTAACAGAGTCTTAAAGGGGCGGTTCAGGATTTTGGACATTGGGCCTCATTTCCAAGTTAGCCTGGGTGTTATTTATCAGTGGAGACAGTTTTCAAAAATGTTCATCCAGTCGTTCCAGTTGCATAGTTCGCCAGTGCTAGGCTAGCGCGAGTCAACGGTAACTGCTAGCCTGCCATTAAAAACAGTTTTACCCACTCCACAGAACACCAAAAGCAGATACATTATAACGCCAGATTATCGATGTAAATGTCTGTGGAGAGAATAATGTTAGAAATCAAACTACCCTTGCATCTCAATGATCGCAATACATTTACAGGAACTAGTTTCTCACCAGCGGCGGGATTTTACTTTGCTCCGGTTAGTAGTCCTGCGCCGAAAAGTAAACACAGAACCGAAGCGCACTACAGTCGGAACTACCTCTCTCTACCTCTCTCTCTCTCTCTCTCACTACCTCTCTCTCACTACCTCTCACTACCTCTCTCTCTCTCTCTCTCTCTCACTACCTCTCTCTACCTCTCTCTCTCTCTCTCTCTCTCTCTCACTACCTCTCTCTCACTACCTCTCTCTACCTCTCTCTCTCTACCTCTCTCTACCTCTCTCTCTCTCTCTCTCACTACCTCTCTCTCACTACCTCTCTCTCTCACTACCTCTCTCTACCTCTCTCTACCTCTCTCTCTCTACCTCTCTCTCTCTCTCACTACCTCTCTCTATCTCTCTCTCTCTCTCTCTCTCTCTACCTCTCTCTCTCTCTCACTACCTCTCTCTACCTCTCTCTCTCACTACCTCTCTCTCTCACTACCTCTCTCTACCTCTCTCTCACTACCTCTCTCTCTCTCACTACCTCTCTCTCTCTCTCTCTCTCTCACTACCTCTCTCTCTCTACCTCTCTCTCTCTACCTCTCTCTCTCTACCTCTCTCTCTCTCACTACCTCTCTCTCACTACCTCTCTCTCTCTACCTCTCTCTCTCTCCACCTCTCTCTCTCTCTCTCTCACTACCTCTCTCTACCTCTCTCTCTCTACCTCTCTCTCTCTACCTCTCTCTCTCTACCTCTCTCTCACTACCTCTCTCTCTCTACCTCTCTCTCACTACCTCTCTCTCTCTACCTCTCTCTCACTACCTCTCTCTCACTACCTCTCTCTACCTCTCTCTCTCTACCTCTCTCTCTCTCTACCTCTCTCTCTCTCCACCTCTCTCTCTCTCTCACTACCTCTCTCTACCTCTCTCTCTCTCTACCTCTCTCTCTCTACCTCTCTCTCTCTACCTCTCTCTCTCTACCTCTCTCTCACTACCTCTCTCTCACTACCTCTCTCTCTCTCCACCTCTCTCTCTCTCTCACTACCTCTCTCTCTCTCACTACCTCTCTCTCACTACCTCTCTCTCTCTACCTCTCTCTCTCTCCACCTCTCTCTCTCTCTCTACCTCTCTCTCACTACCTCTCTCTCACTACCTCTCTCTACCTCTCTCTCTCTACCTCTCTCTCTCTACCTCTCTCACTACCTCTCTCTCACTACCTCTCTCTCACTACCTCTCTCTATCTCTCTCTCTCACTACCTCTCTCTACCTCTCTCTCTCTACCTCTCTCTCACTACCTCTCTCTACCTCTCTCTCACTACCTCTCTTGGTTGCCTAGGTGACTACATATCACTCTGCCGCTGCTGTAGACTGCGCTAATAAATACAGGGAACAAAGTAGAACTATTGCAATGCAATGCAATGAAAGGGTAGTTTGATTTCTAACATTATTATCTCAACAGACATTTACATCGATAGTCTGGCGTTATAATGTATCTGCTTTTGGTGAACTGTGGAGTGGGTAAAACTGTTTTTAATGGCAGGCTAGCAGTTACCGTTGACTCGCGCTAGCCTAGCACCGGCCAACTATGCAACTAGAACGACTGGATGAACATTTTTGAAAACCGTCTCCACTGATGAATAACACCCAGGCTAACTTGGAAATGAGGCCCAATGTCCAAAATCCTGAACCACCCCTTGCACACTGAGTCCGAAATTTTTGCACGATAAAAAATAAATACGACCTCGCGTTATGTCAATCACGCTTGCACACTGCCTCCGAAACTTTCATCCGTCATAAAAAAAATCGGATCGGGTTCGATTTTCTGCGTTTTTCGCATCCGTTGCAAGCAGTTTGAATGGTGTTTGGACAATTCAGAGCCACCGAATCACGAATACGAAAAAACGCTCAGACTCAGTGTGCAAGGGCCTTAAGACCCGAGTTAGCCTGGGGGTAAGGTGTCTAATTTTTTTGGTCTTAATTAAGTCAGTCTTTATTTTGTCATTAGACTAGTCTATGAGCAAATTTTAGACTTGTCTAACTCTATAGACCGGTCTAAAATAGCTTTGTGAAACCGGCCCCAGAGAACGGATTAAGGAAGGAATAGTTAAAAGCATAAAGGAGGATAATTAATTCCAGACTGCACAATTAACTTTTACAGCATTAGGAAAAGAGTGCCTGGAATGAGAATCATTATAGATTCCATTTGGAATTCTGGAATCTGTTTTGTAACACTGGAGATACTAATAAATTCCAGGAGTTCTTAAAGCACATGTGACTTCCTGTTTGACAGTTGTATAAACCAACATATGGTAAGTCTGGGCTTTACCCGGAAAAAAAACAAAAGCAAAATAAAAGCAATATCCTGAGATATATAGCAATATCCTGACAAGTTTAAAACCCCATAGTGTGTAAAGATAAACCTCAACATCCTTCTGCTTTTCAGGCGCGGGGTACGAGGACTCCAGTTCTGTCCAGGAGCGAGCGGATGATGCAGTGCCTCCTGGCGGATACTATAAGTACGTGTGGGACATTTCCCCCAACTCCGGACCGACCACATCAGACCCGGAGTGCCTCACCTACATTTACTCATCACAGGTGGACATCGTGCGAGACTTCAACAGCGGACTCGTCGGGACTCTGCTGATCTGTAACACAGGTGTGACTATGTTCCTTCCCTTGTCAAACATATCAACTTAGAAGTAAAATATGGGTCCTATGATGCTTTTTTTAAACAGGTGTGACTGTTCCTTCGATTCAATTTAATGCACATTTATTTATATAGCGCTTTTCAAAATGCACATCGTTTCAAAGCAGCTTTACAGAAAGTGCATGAGTCCACATTACAATTTAGAGTGTCTGTTATCAGAGGTAAATGTCTAATTATGTATTTAAGAAATGTACATATTAGGGCTGTCAAATGATTAATCGTGATTAATCACATCCAAAATAAAAGTTTTTTTTACATAATATATGTAGGTGCACTGTGTATAATTATTTTATATATATATAAATACACACACATGCTTGTATATATTTAAGAAATATTTTCATGTATATACTGTATATATATTTATATATAATTTATATTATATATAAATATAAATATTTTATATATAAATTATATTTTTTTCTTAAATATACATGCATGTGTGTGTATTTATATATATACAAAATAATTATACACAGTGCACCCACATATATTATGTAAAAGAAAAACTTTTATTTTGGATGTGATTAATCGTGATTAGTACATATACAAAATTACAGTTAGCTGAAAATGTATTAATTTAAACAATGTAATAATTAAAGGCAGAAACAATGAGCTCATTGAAATAATGAATACTTGTTTGCTAACAAGTGATTATGACATTCTCTGTTGGGATGCGTCAAACATTTATATTTTTTTAATAGTAAAATATCAGTTTAAAGGGGTCCTATTATGCTTTTTTTTACATGTTCAGCTTTCTTTAGTGTGAAAAAGCTCCAAAGTTTCTCCCTGAAACGCCTCCATTGTAGTCTTGAGTTTCTCCCGGGAACGAACACGTCACAATATTCCTCATTATAATAATTAATGCGCAGAATAAAGGGGCGGGGCCTGGTTGAGTTAGTTAGTAGTGTGTTAAACTGGCGGTTATGGGAAGGGGCGGGACTTTCCCAAACACACTCGAAGCGCTCGACCAATCACAACACACTGCTCCAGTCGACCAATCAGAGCACAGTGTGCTTTTCAGAAGGAGGGGCTTCATAGAGACAGGAAGTAAACAGAGCGTTACTGACAGACTGGGAAGAGAGGAGCCGCAACAGTGGAGAATATGAGGAGAATAATCAACATTCAAGCAGGAAAACCTGTTCTAGTAGAGCCTGAAACAACTTAAAAGGGCATAATATGGGCTCTTTACCCACTGAGGATTTGTCCTGAATGAGACTGCTGGTAAATACGTGACATGTCCTGTAACATTTGACCCTTTCAGAGGCTCTGACGGAGGAGAGACAGCGGAAGGCAAAAGAGTTTATTTTGTTTCTTGCCGTCTTCGATGAGAGTAAGAGCTGGTACCAGGAGGTGGGCAGAGCAGACAAACTGAAGAAAACATCCAGTCCAAACCAGTACCACACCATTAATGGATACATCAACTCGACATTACCAGGTGCGGAAGTACTTTTTACACTACTGGTCAAAAGTGTGGATTTTTTTTTAATGTTTTTGTAAGAAGGCTGTATTTTTTCGAATAAAAAACCCCTAATATTATGAAATATATTTACAATTTTATGAATTCAAAGCTGAATTTTCAGCATCATTACTCCAGTCTTCAGTGTCACATGATCCGTCAGAAATCACTCAGAAAAAATGTCTGATTATTAACAATGTTGAAAACAGTTGTGTTTTTGTGGGTAAATACGTTTTTTTTTTTAAATGAAATGAAATAATTGTATTCAGCAAAGATGCATTCAGTTGATCAAAAATGACAGTAAAGTAGATTTTTATAATGTTACAAAAGATTCTTTTGAACTTTCTTTACATCAAAGAATGCTGAAAAAGTGCAGTATCCATAAAAACCGTAAGCAGCAGAAACTGTTTACAATATCTGTAATGATAAGAACCATTAATAAATGAGCATCAATAAATGAGCACTAAATCATCATATTAGAGTGATTTCTGAAGGATCATGTGACTCTGAAGACTGGAGTAATGATGCTGAAAATACAGCTTTGATCACAGGAATAAATTACAGTTTACAATATATTCACATTTTTTATGCATTCTTAATTTCTTATTTTTATTTCTGGGATGGACAAATTAACCCTTTAGCCCTAACGCTAACCCTAACCCAGGATTAATAATATTTAACTGTTTTGAGTTGACATATGTTGTACTTTACTTGTTGTAATTCTCAAACGTATTCTGCGTCTCTGCTCTTGTTTCCTCAGGTCTAAGCGTGTGCCAGAAGAGCCCGCCGGTGTCCTGGCATCTCATCGGTCTCGGCTCCACCCCAGAGATCCACAGCATCCAGTTTGAAGGACACACCCTAAAGGTGTTCGACCACAAGCGAGTAACCGTGGAGATGACCCCCATGACCTTCACTACGGCCCTGATGAAGCCGTCCGCTATCGGGAGGTTTCTGATCTCTTGCCAGATCCACTCTCATCAGACAGGTAAGACTCTTTCAATAACATGATGATCAAGGTTTTGAATTTGTACTGTAAAAATTCTCATCCGAATATCATCAGTAAGATAAAATAAAGGCAATGCAGATGAGGTGAAGTGGGTGATGTACATTCAATTTTCCACAAAAATATGAAGCAAGTAGCACAATTATTTTCAAGATTTATATCCTCATATTAGAGTGATTTCTGAAGGATCATGTGACTCTGAAGACTGGAGTAATGATGCTGAAAATTCAGCTTTGATCACAGGAATAAATTAAACTTTACTATATATTCACATAGAAAACTGCTATTTTGATTTGTAATAATTTTTCACAATATTACTGATTTTACTGTATTTTTGATCAAATTAATGCAGCCTTGGTGGGCAGAAGAGACTTCTTTAAAAAGCATTAAGAAATCTTACTGACGCCAAACTTTTGAACGGTATATTTAGCAACATGTTCTGCTAGAGGGGGCTTCAAAAGTTAAAAGATAAAAGACAATAAAAGAGATAAAGTAAACTACATCTTACTGATTATGCACAAAAAGCTTCATTAGGAATGGGAAGCATGCTGTGTTATAGTTACTGATGAGACATGAAACGTCTTCAGAAGAATAAAAGATCATACTTGTGGCCAGTTACGTTATACATAGTCTCTTTTTAAATTGGATGTTTTAAGTAAAATGGCTAAATTTGATGTTTCATAATTCCCTGAAACGCCTCCATTGTAGTCTTGAGTTTCTCCCGGGAACGAACACGTCACAAAATATTCCTCATTATAATAATTAATGCGCAGAATAAAGGGGCGGGGCCTGGTTGAGTTAGTTAGTAGTGTGTTAAACTGGTGGTTATGGGAAGGGGCGGGACTTTCCCAAACACACTCGAAGCGCTCGACCAATCACAACACACTGATCCAGCCGACCAATCAGAGCACAGTGTGCTTTTCAGAAGGAGGGGCTTCATAGAGACAGGAAGTAAACAGGGCGTTACTGACAGACTGGGAAGAGAGGAGCCGCAACAGTGGAGAATATGAGGAGAATAATCAACATTCAAGCAGGAAAACCTGTTCTAGTAGAGCCTGAAACTACATCAAGACTTTGTTTGAATGTTTCTCTAATGTTCAATTTAACCCTCCTCTCCAGCTGGAATGAATGCATTCTTCACTGTTGAGAACTGCCCTGAACCGTTGACAATCCCAATCCCAGACAAACGAAATGTCATACATTCGGATGACCAGGAGGAGGATGAAGACAACATGTTCTCCATAGTGTTCAAGCAAGGAGGCCCTGTATCCGTGCTTCGCTCGAGCGCCAAGGGAAGACCTAAAGTGTGGGTCCATTACATCGGTGCGGAGGAGATAGACTGGGACTATTCCTCTCAAAGCGGCGACCGGTACGACTGTGAGCATGTCCTGAGACGAATGCATGTGAAACTCATTGAAACTAATGATGATTTGCATGTTTCAGGCCTTCAAAATCATCATCAGCAGCATCTGAGTGGTTCAGGAAAGATCCTCAGCGCTTGGGTGCGGTTTATAAGAAGGTGGCTTTCATTGAGTACACAGACAAGACCTTCACTGTGAAGAAAAACACCGGCAAAATGCTGATGGGTCCAGAGCTCAGAGGGGAAGTGGGAGATAAGTTTCAGGTACGAAATGTAGATTTAAAGAGATACAGGTGATCAGATAAAGACAAAACAGCAGGAAAACCTGAACGGTTGCATCACAACTACTGCGATTTGATGATATCACAAGCTATCTCACAACCATGCATCATTAATATTAATTCATTAAAAAAAGTTATTACATGGTTTTGTGGAATACTTGATTCTGATTGGTCAATCGCGCCCCGATAACAACGCGGGCTCATCCGGGTTACTGAAGTCAGCGGCGCTATACGCTCGCTAGGAACGGTTTCTCATCGTTTTGCGTTTGGTGAGCTAATGAAATATTAAAACTCAGTCAAATCAATATTTTGTGTACAGTTATTTAATTATGCCATCCAGTATCGTGGACTCGCTCTCTCTTGTTTCATACAAACGCTGCTGCGATTGTTTTGTACAATTTTAGATTCCAAGATTTAACAAACAGGTACGATTTTCATCTCAAATCAATATCTCTTTACATATATCTATTTATGTGGCGAAATGCTGTGTAATAAGTGGTATGACTGTACCGTATCTCTTAAATGTACATCTAGATTGAATGTCCACGGAAGCGTTTAAAGACCTAATCAAATATTTCAGATATCTCGGATCAATATTTTGTGTCTAATTATTTACTTATGTGGCATGTAGCCGTGGGTAACACTTTATTTTACAGTGTCCTTGTTACATATGCTACATGTACTACTTACCATAGTAATAACAGTAAATTATGCATAATTACATGCAACTAACCCTCACTAAATCCTAATCCTACCCTAAGCGTATAGCAAGTACATGTAGTTGCTTAATATTACTCAGTACTTAACAATGACACCTTAAAATAAAGTGTAACCTAGCCGTGTAATAAGCGGGATAATGTACATCTAGCCGGTTGTTATCTCAACCCTGTCAGTGTTTATTCTGAGATAACAATTGGCTGGATGTACGTTATCCTTAACTTACTGGGCAACTGGTAAGTAACATCGTTTCAACGCTGATTTTTAGGGCCCTATTTTAACGATCTGAAACGCAAGTGTCAAAGCGTAAAGCGCAAGTAACTTTGTGGGCGGATCCCGGCGCTGTTGCTATTTTCCCGGCGGGATAAATGCCTCTTGCGCCTGGCGCAAATCTAAAAGGGGTTGGTCTGAAGTAGCTTCATTATTCATAGGTGTGGTTTGGGCGTAACGTGAAATAAACCAATCAGAGCGTCATCTCACATTCCCTTTAAGAGCAGGCGCGCTTGTTCTAAAGCGGATTCCTATTATAACGGCGGATTTGCCAGGCGCGCGCCAGGAGCGGTTCACAGCCGAGGAGAGCAACGTTCTCGTCAGGGCCGTAAAACACAGAGAAGTGACATTGGGGATGGAGAAACCCACCCAAATTAACTTCTGTTAAACAGGCGTATGATAATTTGGGTAAATGTGTAAGCTACATGCTTTTATAATAAATTGTCTATCTATCTATCTATCTATCTATCTATCTATCTATCTATCTATCTATCTATCTATCTATCTATCTATCTATCTATCTATCTATCTATCTATCTATCTATCGTAATAATGTATGATTTGCAAAAATGAAAACTGCTGCTTAGATGAGAGAATCAACGTGTATGCGCGTTGTGCACACGCTACATTGATTATGGCCAAGCATGCGCCCTTAAAATTGCATAATGAACAACGCGCAACGCGCCACTGACTTTAGACTAGTTTTTTTCTGGTCAGTGGCGCAATTGTTTTATAGAACAGCAAAATAGCATGAGGGACAGTTTGCGCCAGAACACGCCTCCTCTTTGCGCTGAACCGCCCCGGGGAGCGCAAGTGTATTTCTTAGTTAACCGACGTGCGTCTGTGGAGGGAAAAGTCCGTTTTGCGCGGGTGCAAAATAGGAATGATACATGCGTCAGTGTACAAAGTCATTTGCGCCGAGTGCAAGATAGGGCCCTTACTGTTATTTGGGGCTTTGTTTGGCTAACGAGCTCTGGGTCTCCCACAGATGGTGCCGTGCTGCCAGAAGCGATCCGTGCATGAAATAAATGTATTAGAAAACATAATATTTTGCAGTTTATTTAGTAAGTATTTATTAATCAAAGTAACTAGAGTGGGCAATTCTTTTCAGGTGGGAAAATACAAAAATACGTATATATATAAATGTTGTCATAACAGTAGAGCATGGCACTAGCAATGCAAGGGCATGGGTTCGATTCCCAGGGAAAGCAAGAAAATGAATGCAATGTAAGTCACTTATGAGGGTCTGCCAAATGCATAAATGTAAATCTCTTCACCTTTATGTTGTTCCAAACCTGTATTTCTTTCGTCTAGCACAAAAAGAGAAAGAGTATGTTGGTTATTTCAATGAAGAGAGTTGGACATTACTATTCAGAGAGAGATAACTGACAGTTCATCTTGATATTTAAAATCGTGGATCTTTTCTTCTATATTGTGACACATTTATGTGAACAAATGATTCAAATTCAATTCAATGCTGACTTTAGAGTGTTAAACTTATTGTTAAAAAATTAAATTTGGGTTACACTTTATTTTAAGGTGATATGGTTACATTGAACTTGAGTACTGAGTAAAATTACATGTAATCACTATAGTGTTAGGGTTGGGGTTTGGTTTAGTTACTCGTAATTATGCATGATTTACCGTTATTACTGTACATGTGTAACTACATCACCTTAAAATATAGTGTTACCTAAATTCGAGGTAATGATATTTTCAAAGCTTTCTGAAATACACTCTTTTGTATATCTCTATTAGATTGTTTTTAAAAATAAGGCCAGTCGACCATTCAACATTTATCCAAATGGCCTGACCAGTGTTCAGCCTTTGAAGACAACAAACAAAGGTACGAGACATTCTTACAATTTATTTTTCATATCTTCCATTTATATATTGTTTTAAAATTTGATAAAAGTTAAAAACTAGTTAAAGTTGTCTTATACATATTTAGTTATTTTGGTACTTCAAGTCAAACAGAACGTTTGAAATGAAAATGAGATATTTTGCCTCGACAATTAAAAGATGTTTAAAAATATGGTTTTATTTTTTGTTAAAGGGAATTACTCTGGTGTCAGATGCAAATGACTTTTAATGGGATTAACACATTGTTCTCTGTTTGTGGGTTGAAGATAACCAGGTGGATCTTCGTTCTTTGGCCGTTCCACCAGGTGAGATAATGACGTACCTCTGGAAGCTGACAGCCGAAGACGGACCCACAGATGCCGACCCACGATGCCTCACACGCTTATACCAGAGTATGGTGGATCCCTTTCGGGACGTGGCGTCTGGGTTGGTGGGACCCCTTATCATTTGCAAATCCCTGTCTCTGGACAAAAGAGGCAGAGTGGTGAGAAGAAACCCTGATGTAGATCTGATTATCTCAACACGGGCTCATTTGAAACACGGGCCTTCAAATTCTGCAAAATTATGTTGCGTTGGAGGTGTAACGAGACCCTCATGTCACGATTCTGAACTCATGATACGATATTATTGCGATACTCTAAGACATAAAGGGTTAACTAAAAATGTACTGTTAGTTAAAATGCTAAATTTGGTTTTACATTGTGTGTGTAAATTAATAGGCTTGGATTTGGTCCTGATAACCCAAAGCACAGGACAATAGAGACACCAGAATACACATATTCATGATTATGAAGATGAAAACAGAATTATTTAAGATGAATATGCGCTCTATCACTGACTAGATATATTCAAAATAATGTCGGCCACTTTTTACTGGTATCAAGACATTTGGCATTATCATGAGCCACAAATATTCCCCCATTGCATTATTATGCATTATATTCAACATAGTAGTTTAATGTAGGACTGACACTAAACTCTGTAAACTTGAATTTTTTTCTACTATACACAATATTGTCACTATCCACGATACATGATGCATTTTTATATTGCGCAATATTGTGACATGATTTATTGTTACACCCCTAGTTGCACGTTTTCACTTTTAAAGTGAAATGTTGTGATTGAGTAGAGTTTATTATTTTGGTTGTTTTGTGTATAAGTGGCGATTAAAGTTAATGCTCTATCGCTTTTGAAAATAACGTACCACCCTCACTAAACCAAACCGATAGTGTTAACAAAAGCAAACGTGATAAAACAATAAAATAAAATAAAATCTGAAGCAACCAGGCCCTTTTATCTTGCTTCTACTAGTCTTTGAGCTCTTTTATTCTGGGACCCTTGTTTCACAAGTGCGATGCTGTACCTAACCCAGGGTCAGATCATCTATAACTCAACTTATTTTTTTTATGGTTCCTTGCTCAAAACTGTTACAGCCTCATAATTTTACCATAAGTGCATGATTTGTAAAGCAATACATTTTCACGTTTGCATCACATAACCATCTCCATACGTTTGGCTTTTCTGACATACAGGTGAAATTCGAAAAATGAGAATATTATGAAAAAGCTCATTTATTTCAGTAATTCAACTTAAAGGGTGAAACTAATATATTATATAGACTCATTACATGCAAAGTGAGATATTTCAAGCCTTTATTTGTTATCATTTTGATGATTATGGCTTACAGCTTATGAAAACCCCAAAGTCAAAATTAGAATATTGTGAAAAGGTTTTCATAAGCTGTAATCCATAATCATCAAAATTCAACAAATAAAGGCTTGAAATATCTCACTTTGCATGTAATGAGTCTAATATATTAGTTTCACCTTTTAAGTTGATTTACTGAAATAAATCATGCACTTATGGTAAAATTATAAGGCCATAACAGTTTTGAGCAAGGAACCATAAAAAAATAAGTTGAGTTATAGATGATCTGACCCTGTTATCATAACTTAAAACTTGTTGGTGTTTTACTGACACAAGTGTTAATTTCAGCTGTTTTTCTGAGTAGAAATGAGTTTTTTCCAATGAGCCTATGTTGGTTTATCAGACGGATGTAAATTATTATTAATAAATACAAACTATAAGTATAAAGACGGATGGAAGGTGATAGTTAATGCTCCTGATGTTTTCACAGGTAACTTCAGATAAAGAGAAGAAGCTCCTGTTTACGGTGTTTGATGAAAACAGAAGCTGGTACTTTGAGGAAAACATTCAAAGGAATATTGAAGATCCGACTAGGATTAATCGCAATCATCCGGATTTCTACGATTCGAATGTCATGCACAGTGGGTGTTATTTTTTAGTCTCTAGATGTGCAACATGGGATTATCTATGGTAGTTTGTATTGTTTCACCAAACTGGATTAACCTTCGTTTTTAATTGTCTGTTTCAGCGGTTAACGGTTTCATGTTCAACCACCTACAATTCAAGATGTGTGTTGGCGATGTGATTCTCTGGCATGTGGCGAGCGTTGGCATGCAAAGCGACTTTCTGTCAGTTTACTTCACAGGAAATACGTTCGAGAAGGATAAAACATACGGCACTGTCCTCACACTCTTCCCAATGAATGGAGACACAGTGACCACTGAAGCGGAGATGCTAGGTAAGGGTCAGAGGTCAAGATCACGATAAAACGTTTTTACTGTATTTTTGATTAAATTTAATTATTCCAAACTTTTGACTAGTATATAAATTAAAAAAACTTTAACCACTAACGCTGACTAAAACTTTAAGTAAAATTGATAATGAAAATTCATTCATTTGAACTGACTTGAGCTGAACAACAACACCTTTGTCTTCTATAGAGATGCTTATACTTTTAGAATTTAACTAATTTCATAATTATGAACTCTAAAAAGGGAAACACTTTACTTGAAGGGGTGTGCATAAGACTGACATGACACCTTTATAATCATGACATGACACACGTCATGAATATGAAGGAGGGTTTATGCATGTTTATGACAACTGTCATTAAGTGTCATTCGCTCAATTATGACATTTGTAATGCAAATATGGTTGGTTATGACAACTTGACATAAACCAATACATCATAACCTGTCAGTGTCTTTGTCATGACAACTTGACATTACTAAGCCAACACAACCTGTCATAAATATGTCATAAACATGACATAGCAGATTAATTATCAAACTTAAGAAACATTTAGCTTTATGGGTTAACATTACATTAAACTGTCATGTGGTTGGTTTTGACATTGGCTGTCATGAGGCCATTATAACATTTTAATGACAAATTTAATGTGTTGTGTACCACTGTAGTTGAGGTCAAGAAAAATATTCATGACAGTTATAATGGCCTCATGACAGCCAATGTCAAAACCAGCCACCTGACAGTTTAATGTAATGTTAACCCATAAAGCTAAGTGTTTCTTAAGTTTGATAATTAATCTGCTATGTCATGTTTATGACAATTTATGTTGTCTTGGAAAGTTGTCATGACAAAGACACTGACAGGTTATGATGCATTGGTTTATGTCAAGTTGTCCTAACCAAGACATCTCAAACAATGTCATATTTGCATTAAAAATGTCATAATTGAGCGAATGACACTTAATGACAGTTGTCATAAACATGCATAAAACCGCCTTCATATTCATGACGTGTGTCATGTCATGATTATGAAAGTGTCATGTCAGTCTTATGCACACCCCTTCAATTAAAGGGTTTCCCTTTTAAAGTTATTGAACTGAACTGGCATGAGCTGATTAATGACTAATATATGAATTGAATATGAGTTGTTTAAACGGCTATAGAAATAAATGTGACTTGGCTTATTTGGAAATATTAAAAAACTATAGTATATTAATGATACTAAAATAACACTGGTTTGATGAGATCATTGTGGGGGCGGAGCAAGTTATCCATGAAGTTATGAAGACAAATACAATCAGGAACCATTCATTATTAGAACCCGTTTTGATTTCATGTTCATAAGTCTGATGTTTGATGCTTGTAGGCGAATGGGAGGTCAGCGCATTTGACCCCTCTCTGAAAAAGCGAGGCATGAGCGTTCGCTACACGGTTGTTAGCTGTGAAAGAGTGCTTCCTTTGGTGGACAACGAAGACTACGATGATGACTTCATTGAATTCATTGAGCAGAACTTCCCGATTCCACGGGGAACAATGGAAAAGAACCGCACTATCGCTATTCGTGTTTGCCGAAACAGAACTGTGACGGAGTCTGCGACTGGACGAGTAAACATGAGCCGAGCTTCAGACAATGAGAGACAAAACAGAACCCGTGTATGTGAGATAAGATATGTTCCGGTAAAGCGGGAAAAAGATCTGGAAGCGTTATCGCAGGGTGGGATTCCACAGGATATTTTGGATCAACTGGAAGAGGACATGGGTGGAAATTCTTTGGGACGTCAGAAAAGGTCCCACCACAAATCTTACAGAAGTAGACCAAACGAGATTGATCCCACAGTCATATTGAGTTCCTCAGAAAACAGGGAATTAACAGGAGAACATCAAAATGTGAACGTTGCAAACATTCAGTCGGATCACAACAAAACACATCCAAGCGGTCAAACAACAAATGACCTGTTTAGAAAATTCCTTCTTAAAGATGGAAACTTGTCGACTAACCTCAGTCAACTTCTGAACGACTCAAAGGAGAAAGTGAGGAATCGACGGGAGCTGTGGAGCGTCAGCAAAGACAAAAAAGTGGATGTGAAAGTTCACAGCAACAATGAGGTTCTGGAAGAATCTGGAAGTTCTGGTCTAAAGAAGGACAAGATGGAGGAAAGTTTGAATCCATTTAACTATAATTACAAAGATTTAAAGACGTTCAAACCAGATTTGGAACCGGTTTTGGGACCAATGTCTAATTCATCAGATAATCAGACATATGGCCGGAAATCATTGGCAAGTGACTATGATGATTATAGCGATGAGGGAAGCGTTGACGTTCATCACGTTGAAGATAATGTCGGCATTAGGTCGACAGAGTCGAGGTTTCGTAGTTACTACATCGCGGCAGAGGAAATCTTCTGGGATTATGGGATTAATAAACCAGCTCAGCTCATCAAACCAAGGTAACACTACATATATACACAACCACAGTTTTGATAATTTTAGCAGACAATAATTTCAGTTCGGAAATATACAAACAAGCCTTAGTGAGCATAAGAGACAAAAACATGAAACAATTTATTAACTTTAGACCAATAGTGTGTGTTGTACATTATTGTTTTATATTGCATAAAATACATTTATGGTATCAGATTGGATCAAATCCATTTAGTTTAGTTGTTTATTTGTATCACAGCAAAATCCCCAGTGTTAAAATTAACACTCAGAGTGTGAATTATTTAATCTCTGAGCAGAGTGTTAAATGAACACTGAAGCAGTGTTAAAGTTAATGAGATAATTAAGTGAATAATTGAGTGATGATTGAGCATTATTGAAGACACCTAACAAGCAGAATCACTGAAGGAGAAAACCGTAATTTTAAGTCGCCATTATGGTGATCGGTGTTTACTTTAGTTGGGCTCTTGACCCTTAAATCATTAACTTTATATTTCGTTTGGCTGCTGTACCTGAGTTATAACAGCCAGATGAACAAATTGAAAAGGTGACACCATCAGGTGTCTTCAATAATACTCAATCATCACTCAATTAATCACTTAATTATCTCATTAACTTTAACACTGCTTCAGTGTTCATTTAACACTCTGCTCAGAGTTTATATAATTCACACTTTCAGCGTTAATTTAACACTGGGGATTTTGCTGTGAAATGCAATGCACTTTTAGATGGCAATATTAATTGCTTTTCATGTGAAGCCTATAACTAGTCTTGAGGACCTGCTCAATTCTACTTGCACTAAATGTGTGATGTGTCCACAGGGAGATGCGAAGGGGAATGAGAAAATATTTCCCAGCCTATAGAAAGGTGGTTTTCAGAGCCTATCAGGACAGAGATTTCAAACATCCAATCAAACGAGGAGAACTGGACGAGCACCTCGGCATTATGGGTCCAGTGTTGAAGATGGAAATCAATGATGTTCTTACTGTAAGTTTCTTCATGAAAAGGAGGCACTAAAAGCATAACATTGCTTTCTTAAAGTCTTAGCGTTGTTCGGGCAAATATTCACACGCAAAATCTAGTCTTTTCAATAGAAATACACGCAATTGGGAATTTCTTGGTAAAGGAGAAAGTGAAGACACTCAAATCTCACCACACTATTCTATGAAAGCTTGTTTCTGCCACAGAATGAAAAATATAAAAGGTAATTGAGACTTTTTTCTCACAATTGCGAGTTTACATCTCGCGATTCTGACTTTTTATCTCAGAATTGTGTGATATAAAGTCGCAATTACGAGTAATAAATTCAGAATTGCGTGATATAAAGTCGCAATTGTTTGTTATAAAGTCAGAATTGCGTGATATAAAGTCGCAATTGCGAGAAATAAACTCCAATTCAGACTTTTCTTCTCAGAATTGCATGTTTATTCTGCACGCAATTCTGATTTTATAACACGCAATTGGGAGATTTAAAGTCAGAATTGCGTGACATTAAGTTGCAATTGCGAGAAATTTGCGATAATAGCGAGGAGTTCACATATATCTCACAATTCTGACTTTATAACACGCAATTCTGACTTTATATCAAGCAATTCTGAGAAATAAAGCCAGAATTGTGAGATATAAACTCGCAATTGTAAGAAAAAGTCGCAATTATCTTTTAAAAAAATGTATTCTGTGGAAAAAACAAGCTTCCATAATTAAAAAATGCATCATCACAAAAGTATTTATTAATCAGCAAAGTTTCGGTTAATCGCCCACTCTAAATTCTTGCATTTCTCTTCCCATAAGGTGGTTTTCAAGAACCTGGCATCCAGGCCGTACTCTTTCCACTTGCATGGGGTGTACGATAAGACGCAGGGGAGTTTCGGCCCTGGATCGGGCCCAGAAGCCTCCAAGGCCGAGGAAGTGCCAGGTGATCCCGTTCCTGCGGGCGAGGAGAGGGTGTACAACTGGAGAATCTCCAAACGACAAGGTCCCACAGAGTCAGAGTTTGACTGCAAGGCTGGGGCCTACTACTCCAACGTCAACATGGTAATTCAATGTGCAACACAGGAATCAAAATTAGGTTGCTTTTGTTGAATTTGAGGAATCTTTCATGTCTAAGGCACAAAAGTTGTACATATTTATGTTGTTTTTACGCCCTCCCGTTGTGTTGGGTCAGATTGACCCGAGTTTGATTTTCAAATGGTTTGAAACAATGACATTGAAACTTTTTGAATATTTCCCATTTTGGCATGCAAAGTCAATTATTAAAGGGAATGCGAAGTTTTGACACAGTTTTGTGTTTTGGAAAGGCTGTACAAGTTTTGTGTTGGGGTCATTCTGACTCCCCGTTGACCAAAAATCATCACTTTGAACATTTATAGTAGCTTATCAAACACTAAACTATGAAATGCATGAGAACCAATGAACGTTTACTCTTCTTCTGTATCGTCCGAGGAAAAGTAATTGTTTCGTTATCTAGTCACAGTCCAATCCAAAAAGGGTTGTTATTTTATTTTTTACATTAATCTTTTAATGTTGATTTTTGTCAATGCATTGAAACCAATGCAAATTGAAACCAATTTGACCTGCAACACAAAAGTTGTAAAGTTGTAACACAACAGGAGGGTTAAAAAAAAAACAGGTTAAAATATAATGGATAATCATTCATGTTCCTCAAACAGAAGAGCATAGCACTTGCAACTCCATGGGTTTCACTCCTAGGGAATGCATGAACTGATCAAATGCATTGCTTGAATGCAATGCAAGTTGTTTTGGATAAAAGAATCTGCCAAATGCATTAATGTAAATAACTTCTGTATTCCCTCTGCGTCCACCAGGAGAAGGACATAAACTCTGGTCTAATCGGTCCGATGCTGATATGTCGTCCTGGTACCCTCCGTTCACGCGCAAAGCTTCGACCTGACGTGACAGACTTCTTCCTTCTCTTCACCACCTTTGATGAACGAAAGAGCTGGTACCTCGACTACAACATCGGGAAGTTTTGCACCCCACCCTGCCAGGCCAAAGTAGACGATCCGTGGTTCGAGATGAGCAACAGGTTTGCAGGTACATTATGCCATAATTTGTGATTGACACTGCATGCATGTTGTGTTGAAAATTACAAGATAACCAGTCTGGGGTGCGTTTCCCGTACAACGCCGTAACTCGATGCTTCACTACCGTAGTACGATGCATCATTGAAGAAATCAACTAGCTGGTCACGACTGTTTCCGAAACCATATTGTCGCAAAGTGGTCGTTCAACCAAGTTGGTTTAATAACTTATTTTAATGAAACTGTTTGAGATTTAATTAATGCTAGATGTTTTGATATAAATTACAGACATGCATCTGAGGAATATTTCTAATTTTCTCAGTTATTTCGCTTTATTTCCAGATTCAATCGTAGGCTCGTTCTTACATAGTAGAGCATGTTCGCACATGCGCAGTCTTCAAAAACTGTGCTTTAAAGCAACACTAAGTAAGATTTTTTACCTTAAAATAATGTTTCCAAAATAGTTTCAGTGGTTCATTAAGTCGTAACAGGGTGAAAGGCACTTCTGGATTCGCTTTGCGGTCCTATATCTGCTATAACCACGCTATGTAAGATTGCCAGATCGGGTCGCGTTTCTGTAGTTCTAATGAGACATAAGAAAACTACAAATTTGACTTGCTTTACGTCAAGCGTTACAATAGTCATTCGTTTCTGATGTCGCAATACATCATACTTTCATGAAATCATGCAACTTGCTCTACCTTGTCTGTGGACATCGTTCATTCCAAAGCCGGCGCTGGATAAACACGAGCGTGTGTGCGACAGTCGGCTGCGCTAGGCTAAATTATTTATGACAGCGGTAATGGACAATTCCGCTTCCAACCTGTAGGGCGACCGCAGAGGAAAAGTTACTTGGTGTTGCTTTAAATCTCTTGACAAACTAAAAGACGTAAATTACATTTGTATGTATTCTAAATGAAAGACACAGGTTGCACTGAATGTCAGCTTGCTTATTTTGCTCCAGATCAGGGTTTATTGAGTCCACATGTCATGCAAACAAGAAACTGCTTCTAACCACAGGAGATCTGTCGCTCAAACACACAACTCTGCGATGCTGTTTGCGAATGTTCGTTGGAACGATGGTTTCGGGAAACACAGACTCGTTGAACTGCTGATAACGACGGAACTTGCGACCATAGTTGGCTAACGATGCTTTCGGGAAACGTACCCCTGATCTGTTCACATCCTCTGTCTCAATAAATATTTGCATCTATGGCAACGCTGATAAAAACAAATGGATCCATGTGTTTATGCTTGTTATTGTGTAATTCAGTTGTTAAATAGCCTTTTCTTTAGTACAAGTAAACAAGCTCCATGTACCCAGTTTTTCTAAATATAAAGAAACATTATGGTAATGCATTGATTCAAGGTGACACATGTACATTAACATTTATGCATTTGGCAGATTTTATCCTTGCATTGCTTTCAGGGTATACATTTGATTAGTTCATGCATTCCTTGGGAATCGAACCCATAACCTTGTAATTGCTAGTGCCATGCTTTCCTATTAGGAACTGTATTAATAGCCACAATATAATATTGTGTGTTGTGTTTTATTGGCACTTGTAGCTATTAACGGCTACGTGTCAGAAACGCTTCCTGGCCTGATAGTTGAACAGTACCAGACGACTCGCTGGCATCTTCTCAACGTTGGGAGTCAAGGCGAGTTTCACGCTGTACACTTCCACGGACTGCCATTCAGAGTCGGAAAAGATCAGGATCACCGCATGGGAATTTTCAATCTCTATCCCGGTAAACTATACACAAACCCTGCATGCCTGTTAGTATGTTAGGATTACAAATCACAATTAATTAAGCATAATTTGGGCAATCTCACATCATAGACTTATACTAACATTCAAAAGTTTGTAATAATCAAGATTTTTTAATGTTTTTGAAATAAGTCTTTTCTGCTCACCAAGGCTGTATTTATTTTGTTTTAAAATACAGTAAAATCAGTAATATTGTGAAATATTATTACAATTTACAATAGCTGTTTTCTATGTGAATATATAGTAAAGTGTAATTTATTCCTGTGATCAAAGCTGAATTTTCAGCATCATTACTCCAGTCTTCAGAGTCACATGATCCTTCAGAAATCACTCTAATATGATGATTTGCTGCTCAAGAAACATTTCTTGATTATTATCAATGTTGAAAACAGTTTGTGGAATCTGTGATACACCTTTTCTCTCTATCAATATCACTTATTGTGTCTCGTTTGGCAGGTGTTTTTGGGACGGTGGAGATGAGGCCAGCTATCGTAGGCACCTGGTTAATAGAGTGCACTATAGGGGAACATCAGCTGGCCGGCATGAGAGCCAAGATGCTGGTCTACAACCCGCGTAAGAGCTTTTCTCGATAGGAGATTGTTGAGGATCGTTCTTGTCATCCTGTTACTGCAGTCGTGTTGTGAATCACTAAATAGTTCAAGGCACCTGAAACTGATTGATTTTGTTCAACAGGATGCATTCAGCCATTAGGAATACACCTAGGGTGGATTAACAACAACCAAATAACAGCCTCGGATCACTATGGTAAGAGCAACAAAACGAAAGTATTCAAATGTCTGATGTGTGCAATGGATTTGGTCACACTTTTAAGTAGTTTGTCCAGCTCCACACATGAATGATTCCTCAAATCATCTGTTTTATTGAGGAGAGATTTTCGCGGACAGATGATAAAATTGGTGCAGGTCCCATAGAAAGTCGGCTCTTTTGACTTGGGCCATAAAATCTAGTATTTTAATTCAATTATTTATTGAAATGCCATTTCTCTTAAAGGTGTTTGGAAGCCCGATTTAGCCAGACTTGAGTTATCTGGATCGGTTAATGCCTGGATGGGCAGAGGCACAGACTCCTGGCTCCAGGTAAAAGAAACCCAGATAACATGCTGTGCTTTGGCTCATTTGTAAGGAAAACATGTTATGATTTATTTGTGGCTCATATCACAGACAATTGTGACTCTTTGCACCACAGTCAGTCAGTCAGTCATTCTTGACACATTTTTCTTTCATTCTCAGTAAGACAAAGTGGGAAATAGTTTTGAAATACTATAAATAGGTTTGCACAGTAGATTGTATTTAACCTTTGATCCAACAGTGTTCGGAAGAGCAAGAGAAAGAGAGAAAGCGTGTAGGATACACAACAATTGACTATTTTTAGCAGGATTCCTACGATCATGCAAAACTAGGAAATATTTCCTGGAAGTCATAGAAATAATTAAATCTTAATTTTAAAATAATGGAAGCTTGTTTCCGCCACAGAATAATAATAAAAAAAGTAATTGCGACTTTTTATCTCCCAATTTTGACTTTTCATCTCAGAATTGCGTGATATAACGTCGAAATTTCTGAGTTATAAGTCAGAATATAAAGTCAGAGAGATATAAAGTCGGAATTGCGAGATAAAAATAAAAATTCGTACTTTTTTTTCCACGATTGCGAGTTTATATCTCGCAATTCTGACTTCATATCTTGCAATTCTGAGATAAAAAGTCAGAATTGCAAGATAAAAAGTCTTTTAAAATGTTTTATTCTGTGGCGGAAACAAGCTTACATAGAAAATAAGTGAAATGTCTGTAGTCAAGTATTTATTCAATCGCTTGTAATTGTTCTAGAAATCAAACACAACCAGAATCCATACCTAACCCTCCATATCTCTCCTGTTTATCTTTGTATGTGTGTTTTAGGTGGATTTGTTAAAGCCCATGCTCCTCCATGGTATTCAAACTCAGGGTGCAAAGATGGGTTTTAGCGAGTATTTCACCATTATGTACACCATCAGTTACAGCACTGACCAGGAGAACTGGACCATCTACAGAGGAAACAGCAGCAAGTCATCTTACGTCAGTACCAACATCTGAATTTACATAAAAATAGTCTGATTTAAAGGGGGCATATTGCACGCTTTGTTTTGTAGCACTTTATTTTTTCCACTACAGTCCTCTTATAACATTAGTAAATGTTTCTTTCACCATAATTTAGTCTTGCCATCATGACCATTTCAACCTTCACCCTGTTTTTACTACTGTATCTTCAGGGTGAATCTGTATGGAAGCTTGTTTCCCCCACAAAAAAAAAAAAAGAAAGATAATTG